AATCTGTTTAATGCGTTTCATTTAATATTTGGTGCTTAACCCATAGCAGACTGTGTATGGGGGTGGGGGTGCAGACTTACAGACCTTATTTTTTAGAGACAACAGGAAGAGAGGAAATGGTCTCCTCAGGCCTCAGAGAAGGGAATCTGAACTGTGTTTTCTGTCTGTCTAGCTCTGGACCTCCCGAGGCTGGAGGGAGGGGGCTCCCCCGGGTCTGAGACTGCTACTGTGGCAGAAACCTCTGGCTTATGCAAATAAACAGGGCTTAGGCCCTGGGCTTCACCTAAGAGGCCGTTGTTTCTGGGGTCCTTTTTTCCAAGGCTTTTCATGCTAAGAATGTGAGGAGGAACTGTTTCCCAGCATAGAATTTTCTTCAGGTCTTCCACTGAACCTCGGAGTGGTTGTGCCCTGGCTGAAATGTGAGCTGTCCCCAAAGTCCACACTCCTCTCAGCAGCTGTCTCAGCAAAGCCAGAAGCGCAGGGTCTCCCTGGAGAATTCTCAGGAGGGTGAAGGAGAATATAAGTGAGAGGGAAGCTTTTGGAGCCCAGGTACCCTCACAGTGGTCCCTGGTTTGGCCACTCCTGCTCTCCTTCCTTCTCTTGGCCCTTCACTGCATTTATCCTTCAGGGTACCTGGCACATAAGTCAAAGTATTGTCTTTCTATTTGGAAGAGAAACCTTGGTCCTTTAAAAAGTAACCTGACATCACCAGCCCTGGCCAGACTGGTTGGTGCCTGGATGGAGCTCCCTGGGCCCATCTGTCCTGACAGGTCACCCTTTTCCTGCTCCAGCAGCCGGGCTCAGTCCACTCCCTCTCGGCATCACAGCAGGGTCCCTCCCTCTTCAGATCCTCTGTTAGTCACACTGGCACAGAACAATGCATCAGGACAGGAGGAAGGTTGGCACTGTTTTTCTGCATGGAACTGTGTATGACTTCTCCTGGGGCCCCAGAGAGAATGGCTGTGGGCCTCCCCAGGTAGAGCCGGTACTGAATTGCTTCTGCTGACCCTTCAGGCATGTCTTGATCAACTGGCAGGTGTATGTACTGGGCTCTGTGAGCGCTTGGACACCTAACCACCAAAGAGGAAAATCTTGCTTAGGATTATTGGGCTCAGAGAGGGAAGCACCCCAGCAAAGAGAATTCCCCACACAGAAGCTCATTCCTTGTCTTGCACAGGTTTCTGCCTTATCCACTCAATATGCAAACATTAAGGACTTCCATGTACCAAGCACAGTGCTAGGTCCTGAGGATTCACTGTTCTTAGACCCCAAACAACTCATAGCCTAGAATAAGACAGTGATAAATAACTACAACACGGTGAACACTATGGAAGAGATGCAAGGTACAGATAGTAAGAGTTTGGAAAAGATTCTGAGAGGAAGAGAAGAACGTTTTTAGTTAACAGCCATATTGCAAGCATCGTGCTAAATGTTCAGTTCAGTCTCTCAGTTGTGACTCTTTGCGACCCCATGGACTACAGCACACCAGGCCTCCCTGTCCATCACCAACTCCCAGAGTTTACTCAAACTCATGTCCATCGAGTCAGTGATGCCATTCAACCATCTCATCCTCTGTCATCCCCTTCTCCCACTTCAGTCTTTTCCAGCATCGGGGTCTTTTCAAATGAGTCAGTTCTTCACATCAGGTGGCCAAAGTATTAGAGTTTCAGCTTCAGCATCAGTCCGTCCAGTGAATATTCAGGACTGATTTTCTTTACGATGGACTGGTTGGCTCTTGCAGTCCAAGGGACTCTCAAGAGTCTTCTCCAACACCACAGTTCAAAATCATCAATTCTTCAGTGCTCAGCTTTCTTTATAGTTCAACTCTCACATCCCTACGTGACCACTGGAAAAACCATAGCCTTGACTAGATGGACCTTTGTTGGCAAAGTAATGCCTGCTTTTTAATATGCTGTCTATGCTGGTCATAACTTTTCTTCCAAGGAGCAAGTGTCTTTTAATTTCAAGGCTGCAGTCACCATCTGCAGTGATTTTGGAGCCCCCAAAAATAAAGTCTGTCACTGTTTCCCCATCTATTTGACATGGAATGATGGAACCAGATGTCATGATCTTGGTTTTCTGATTGTTGAGTTTAAAGCCAACTTTTTCACTTTCCTCTTTCACTTTCATTAAGAGGTTCTTTAGTTCTTTGCTTTCTGCTGTAAGGATGGTGTTATCTGCATATCAGAGGTTATTGATATTTCTCCTGGCAATCTTGATTCCAGCTTGTGCTTCATCCAATCCAGTATTTCTCATGATGTACTCTGCATATAAGTTAAATAAGCAGAGTGAAAATACACAGCCTTGATGTACTCCTTTCCTGATTTGGAACCAGTCTGTTTTTCCATGTCCAGTTCTAATTGTTGCTTCTTGACCTGCATGCAGATTTCTCAGGAGGCAGGTCAGGTGGTCTGGTATTCCCATCTCTCGAAGAATTTTCGACAGTTTGTTGTGATCCACACAAAGGCTTTGGCATAGCAATAAAGCAGAAGTAGATGTTTTCCTGGAACTCTTGTGCTTTTTCAATGATCCAATGGATGTTGGCAATTTGATCTCTGGTTCCTTTGCTTTTTCTAAATCCAGCCCGAACATCTGGAAGTTCACAGTTCACATACTGTTGCAGCCTGGCTTGGAGAATTCTGAGCATTACTTTGCTAGCATGTGAGATGAGTGCAATTGTGCAGTAGTGTGAGCATTCTTTGGCATTGCCTTTCTTTGGGATTGGAATGAAAACTGACGTTGTCCAGTCCAGTGGCCACTGCTGAGTTTTCCAAATTCGCTGTCATATGCAGTGTAGAACTTTCACAGCATCATCTTTTAGGATTTGAAATAGCTCAACTGGGATTCCATCCTCTCCACTAGCTTTGTTCATAGTGATGCTTCCTAAGGTCCACATGACTTCACATTCCAGGATGTCTGGCTCTAGGTGAGTGATCACACCATAGTGATTATCTCGGTCTTGAAGATCTTTTTTGTATAGTTCTGTGTATTCTTGCCACCTCTTCTTAATATCTTCTGCTTCTGTTAGGTCCATACCATTTCTGTCCTTTACTGTGCCTATCTTTGCATGAAATGTTCCCTTGTTATCTCTATTTTCTTGAAGAGATCTCTAGTCTTTCCCATTCTATTGTTTCCCTCTATTTCTTTGCACTGATCACTGATGAAGGCTTTTTCCTCTCTCCTTGCTATTCTTTGGAACTCTGCATTCAAATGGGCATATCTTTCCTTTTCTCCTATGCTTTCGCTTCTCTTCTTTTCTCAGCTATTTGTAGGGCCTCCTCAGACAACCATTTTGCCTTTTTGCATTTCTTTTTCTTGGGGATGGCCTTGATCACTGCCTCCTGTACAATGTAATGAACCTCTGTCCATAGTTTTTCAGGCACTCTATCAGCTCTAATCCCTTAAATCTATTTGTCACTTCAACTGTATAATTATAAGGGATTTGATCATGTTCATGGTGTAATTGAATCCTTACGATAATCCTGAGTCTGGGATTCAGAATATATAGGAAGTCACATAGCTGGTCAGTGGCTGGCAGAGCCTGAGTATGCACCTAGGATTGTCTTGATTCAAAGCCAAAACCAGAATTGGGCATTGTAAGTTGCTTGGATCTTTTGGCAGAGAATGACGGGGTGGGTGATCCAACAGAAGGATCGGCGTGTACAAAAGCCTGAAGGACGGAAGAGAAGTTCATGTTGGAGAACTCGGCAACTTCACTGAGGCCCAAATGCCAGAAGGCAAGTGGAGGCAGATGAGGCCTGAGAGCAGATGAGAGCCTTTAATGCCAAGCTGAGAGCAAACTCCTGTGGACAGCACCCATTTCTGAGGGTTTTATACAGTGGGCAGCACATGATAGCTAAGATTTGTGAAGCATTTATGATTTGCCAAGCATCAAGCCAAAAACCTGCATAAATTATCTCAGTCCTGACAGAGAGCCCATGAAAGAGCATTGTCTTATTCCTATTTTTCAGACGAGGTACTTACCATGGAGGGTTCAAAAACATGCTCAAGGTCAGAGGCTAGCCAGCGATGGAAGCCTGGGTCTATGTGATTTCAGAGCCTACAGTTTTAACCAGCACCAGTAGAATTCTTCCCACTGCTCTGAAGCATCTGTTCAATTCAGTTCAGTCGCTCAGTTGTGTCCAACTCTTTGCTACCCCATGGACTGTAGCACGCTAGGCTTCCCTGTCCATCACAGCTTGCTCAAACTCACGTCCATTGAGTTGGCTCTTATTGGAAAAGACCCTTAAGCATCAGGATTATAATAAACCACCCTCTCTCTGCATCCTGAATAAGACTGGTCACTTACCAGCCTTGTGACAAATGAAGTGTCACGCCCCCAGACAGTGGCTGCAGCACCCTGTGGTCCCCATCCAGCCTCAGCCGCAGCCCGGGCCAGAGCAGGGAGTCCGCGAGAAAGGCCAATCAATGCCGCCCCGCTATTCCTGACCAGGAACCTGCGGGCCTCGTGCCTCACACGCGTGGGGTGCTCAGTAAATATTTACAGAAAGGAAGGAGGGGCCATGAGGTTGAAGAAGAGGGATTAAGAAGTGCCCAGCCTAGAGGACAGGTGCGGGGTAGGAAATTCAGCATTCCTTCGCAAGGTTCAGTCTAATTCCCAGAAATTCCTTCCTCGACAGGAGCACAGGTTAGCAACTTGGGGGTGTGGTTCCCGCCAGGCTTTGCGAGGGAAGGTATACGATTGGAGCAGAGCGAGGGGGCGGGGCCCGCGCGCGGGAGGCGGGGCCGAGGGGGCGGGCCTGTGGTTGAGACTGCGGAAAGACTGCCGGACAGTGGAGTCTGGGGGTGCTGCAGTCCATGGGGTCGCAGGGTGAGTACACGATTTAGCGGCTGAACAACAACAAAAAGATCACCGGGCTGGAGAGGGCGGTCAGGTGGAGGGGCGGGGCCGTCCTCGGGGCGGGACCAAGGGGCCGGCTTGTGATTGGACTTCGCGAGAGCCGGGGAACCGCGCGTCTGAGAGGACGTGACGCTCTCGCGGAGGTGACGCCCTGCGGTTGCGCGCCCCTTCCGGCCCGGGGAGGGCGCAGAAGATCCGGGCCGCTCGGCCGCAGGCCGCCTACAGCGACGCGGGATGTAGCGCCGGCGCTTCGGTCCCCAGCACAGCTCTCCGCCCGCCGTAAGTTTCTCTGGGCTCGGCGGCGAGCAGGCCGGAGGGCGGGGATCAGCCAGAGGGCGGGCTCCCCACGGGAGTCTCGGCGCGGGCCTGAGGCAGCTGCCGTGGGGCTGGACCGCCCGGGCGTCCTCAGGGTCCCCGGACCCCCGCCCGGGGCCGGCCGCTCCTCCAGCCTCAGCGCGGCGGTTGTCCACGTTCCCGGACCTTCCCGTGCGAGTCGCGTCCCCAGCTGTCAACCGCCGCGGTGGCGGCCGTGCCCCCCAGTCGCCAGGGTGAGACGTCGGGCTTCAGGCTCTGGCTCGGGCCCTCCAGGCCGGAGCTGAGCCTGGTCCCCAAGGCCGCGCGAGGCGAGCGCCGAGGGGCTGCGGGCCTGAGGCTCGGAGCCGGCGTCTGGCGGGGAGCCCCCGCCTTCGGTAGCCCGAGGAGCCCCGCGGTTACTAGACCGTGACAGTGCCCCCACCTTGGCGGCGGGGAAGGGGAGGCTGGTGGACAGTTGGCCTGTGTTTAAGGGGGCCCTAAATGCTGCAGTGTGAGCGAAATCTAAAGTACTTCGGGAAAAAAGGAAATTTCATTCCCTCAGAAATCTATCATTGGTGCCATTCTATGTTTGAGGTTTTTGGTTAAGCCTTCAGTTTTTAATGGAATAGACACGTTTCCCCTCAGTTTCTGGCGCTGCTACGCAGGCGAGTGGGAAACGGACAAGGCGAATTTCATTTAGGAAGCTTCAGGTGTCGGAGGAGCAACAGGAGGCCTGCAGAGTGCTTTGCTAGCTTAAGCTGGTGTTTCCCCCCCACGGAGGGAGGAGACACAGCAGAGGAAGGATGTATAGGCTCCCCGCTTGAATCAAGCGAGCACTGGACTGACTGGTTCTCTCTGAAGTGAAGGGGCTGTGGGTTCTGTTTACGACTGTTTACTAAGAGGTAGGCTTGCATCTTGTGGCACAGCTCCTGCTGCTGCTGATGTTTGGTAGTGTCCACGCAGTGTTGGGATTCAGGCGGGGTGCTGACACACGGATTGCAGCCCTGGAATTTCTTCACCCCAGGAGTAACTTCTGTGTACTTGGGGCATCAGTCTTAAGGACTGGTGTGTTGCCTGTAAGCAGCCATCTTAGGGCAGGTCTCCCCAAAACCGTACCTAATTGCTGAGTAGAATCTGAAAACATTCTGTTCTCAGGGGCCAAGAAACTATCTGATGCCCTGGGGATAAATAGAAATTTTAAGCAACTACTTTGCCTGCAGGTTGAAAGCTCAGACAAGGGCACACCCTTCCTAGTGGGTTCCCAGTTGCTAATGGATTAAGTGCACTGCGGATTTTAGCTTTTAGACCGTCTTCAGTTTCTTAAGTCTGGCCTCACATTGCCTTTCCAAGATTTCCTTGTGGAAAGTGGATTATTCACTGCCCTGGGGGATCTGTTCTCTCCGAGCCTGCCCAGGTTCAGAACACTACCTTCAGGAATGCTTTGGTCCTATCTTACCTATCAAGATCCTTTCTTAAAATCTTGCACAAAACCTTCCCCGATATTCCAACTCAAACTGAGCATTTCTTCTGAATTCCTCCAGCACTTTATGGTGTTTAGTCTTGTAGTGGTGCTAGTAGAACAGAGAAGTTATTGCCTCTTAAAATCGAGGCCAGCCACCATGCAAAGCCAGACTCCTCTCTTTGCCTTGTCCCTGTAGCCACAATGCCATGCTTATTTGTGGACGGGTAAAGAAATTTGCACTTCTTTCTAGGCCAATAAGTCTGTTCTTTATTTCCTTAAGAAATTTCCTTGACTTCTTTAATAAAAAGCCAAAAAGGAACTGCTTGACACACCTGCAACACTACCCCGCCTACTGGTGATCATACAGGTGAAGTCAGTGAGAGTCGCTCAGTCTGACTCTTTGTGACCCTGTGGACCATACAGCCCATGGGATTCTCCAGGCCAGGACACTGGAGTGGGTAGCCTTTCCCTTCTCTGGGGGATCTTCCCAGCCCAGGGGTTGAGCCCAGGTCTCGTGACCACCTGTGCCACCAGGGAAGACCAAAGCCGTCTGTGCGTGCAGACGCTTCATCAGTGCTGCTGGGGTGTTCCTGGGACTGGTCTCCATCCGAGTTGTTGGATTTTGTCCTGAATGCCCATTTGTCCCTCATGTCGCCCACTGAACTTTGTTCCTTTCACTATTTTCAAGGTTAATTGCCTTTTCCTGCTCAGAAATTTGGGGGCATACAAAGTTTCAGCTGTCTTAGATTGAAGAGATCCTTGAAAGTGCCCTTGAGGCAAACTGGTTCCGAGTGATTCGATTTTTAGACATGTACCTCATTTACTTCTGTTTCATTGGGGCTCTCACGGTATACAGTTACCATATAATGTGTTGACTCTAGTGGCCACATATCTGTAATGTACTTAAAAGCCAGGTGTTAAAATCAAGGGCTGGTATGAAACACCTTCACATTCCTGTTTTTTATCTTGTTTTACGGGATTTGGAAAGCTTACCTGTCTGTTTGGGATTCAAAAAAAGACCTATTGCCGTTGAGATAGCTTTAGCTGGGGAAGAGCTACAAAGCAAGTTAGATTTTTTTGCTGGTTTTTCACTGCAGACTCAAGTCGGTGACACTTGTACTTAAATAGGAAAGCTGAGGCTCCATTATTGCAATTCAGTAGTATTCAAACATAAGCCTTTGCTTTGATTCATTTGCCCCCAGCAGTGCTATGAAACCACCTTCCCTGACAGAGTAGTAGAGGAGAAGATGACTGTGTTCTTCGTCCTTAGTGCTTTGACTAGTCTTGCTTTGGGCTTCCTTGGTGGTTCAGTGGTAAAGAATCCTCCAGCAGTGCAGGAGATATGGATTTGATCCCTGGATCAGGAAGATCCCCTGAAGAAGGGAATGGCCACCCACTCCAGTATTCTTGCCTGGAGAATTCCATGGACAGAGGAGCCTGGAGGGCTACAGTCCATGAGGTTGCAAAGAGTCAGATGCGACTGAACAAGTCTTGCTTTACTGTGAGAGTCAGGTTGGCGTAAGAAGGAGCTTAACTTGTGGAACCTCCAAGGGCCCAGGGACCCTAGATTAAAAATTTCTAGACGTTCTGTGCCTTGACTCCTGAGGAGTGTACTATAATGTGAATAACTTGGGAACCGGTTCACAAAATAAATGTCTCCAAAAGTGTGAGGGAAATAAACTCACCAACAAAGGCTGGCAACTAAGAATCAGTCCTTTCCCAAGTTTGGCACCAGATAATCTTATTTATAGGAGCACAGGCAGCCCTGCCTCCACAGCCTTACCCTCTAATGTCATAGGTTATCCAGCTGGAGAGCTTAGTGGTAAATTAGCTTGAATTAAAGAAATCCCATCAAAAATGCACTCAGGAGTTTGGCCCAGTTATAACTGCTTTATTGGGTGGGTGTGGCGATTTTGAGGACAAATGTGTTTCCTCTAAAATATATCAGGATAGGAAAGTTTATGAGGGCTTCCCTGGTGACTCAGTGGTAAAGAATCTACCTGCCAACGCAGGAGACACGGGTTCAAGAAGATCCCTCACGCCAAGAAGCAGCTAAGCCCATGCCCCACAACTACTGAGCCTGTGCTGAACCCACATGCCCTAGATCCTGTGCCCCACAACCAGAGGGGAGCCCCTGCTCACGCAACTGGAGAAAGCCCGCACAGCAACAGAGACCCAGCACAGCCATAAATAAATAAATAAATAAATGAATTAAAAAAAAATTTTAAGAACAAACACTTGAAATATTAAAAAATCAGAAGCAAAGCTCATGGGAAAGTGAAGCCCATCTGGCTCTGAGTGCTCATGGAGTCCGTCTTCACACTCCAGGGGCTGGTACTGACCTTAAACAGAGGACACTGAAAGGCTTGCTTGTCCCGATTGCCAGCCGTTTGTGAGAGGTCCACCCTGCCAAGTATACTTTCAAGTTCTAGCATTACTTGCTTTTCTTTCTTACCAGACCTCCGCCCCCTTTCTCTCCCTTCCTGTCCCTGTGTTGCTAGTTTAGAAGACCTTGCTGGACAGTGGACTTTGCTCACTATGGTGACATGACCTCCGCTGAACATCATTGTCTGTTCTTTGTTTGGTGACGATATGTCTTGTGTGATGAGTTGTAACTGGTGCCTGGCTTGTGAGTTAATGGGTGCCTGTCAGAGTTAGTGACTCTGGGTCTAGAGATAATGCTGGGGGTGGGGCGTGGGAGCCAGAGGGGCTCAGAAGTGACAGAAAGTGGTTTCGACTGGATGAGGAAAGCCTTTGAAGACTGCCACGAGACTGAGGTCCTGCTAAGAGGACGCTAGACTTGAGGGCGTGAAAACTTCAGACCCAGTGAGGAAGTTAGGAAGTGCACCAGGCTGGAGTCTGTACCTGTCTCTGACCCTAACTGCCCAATGTAAAGTGTGTGTCATTCTCATCCCCACTGGTGAGATGGGTCCACAGCACTCACCTGAGCTTGCCGTGTGCCATCCTAGTCCAGGGCTCTCCCTGCGCTGCCTGCTGGAGCAGTGGCGCTGTCACTGGTTCTGTACATGACACAGGTGACCTCCTGCCACCGAATTACAGGCTCTTTCAAGACAGTGACTTGTTTGACTTGGTGTTTTGCACAGTACCTTAGAGTGCCTTAGGGTGCTGGCACTAAGTGCATTTGTTCAGTATTCCAGGGGTGTGTTGGCTGCTCTGGGGAGGGGACAGAGAGCGGCCTAGAGGCACAAACACAGGACGCCTTAGCTAGTGGGTCACATGCTTGCTGGCGGGAATGCTGCCTCCTGCATTCTTCCACCTATTCTGAAATACAGATTCTGACCACAATCAGGGATATGTATAAATTAGTTATCTGTGTAGTACTGCATCCCAGAACCTGAGAAAATATCTATTTTTTAACCCTAGTGGCCACCTCTCAAGTACTGTATTCTAGCAAAGTATATTCCCCTTTTCATAACTTTTCTGGGATGCCCAAAGCTATCCATATTTTTCGCTGCAGTGTAAATTATTTCTTACTAAAGCTGTTCATTCAGTAGTACTTCAGTTTGAGGAAATGTGTTTTGTGGTCGGCCTATTGAGAAAGATTGCCCAGTGCTTCTGCTCACGCGGGCCGCCTGTCTCCTGAGGTTCCGTGGGCCTCCGGTTTCCTGCTGTCCTCGGGCTCAGTCGTTGGCTGTAGCTGCGGGCTGGCATCTTTCATATCAGAGTCCTGCATCTGTGGAGGAGGCGGCACCGCCTGTGTGTTGACACCACAGCGAGGTCTGTGGACGGAGTTACGGCCGTTTGCTCTCCTGAGCTAGCTCTCTGCTGCCTGCAGCTTTCAGCAGTGCTGACGCGCTGAGCCTGGCATGACTGTTTGAAACTTGCGGGCTGCCCTCACCTGACTACATAGATCCAGTCACAATCTCTGAGAAGGAATCGAGATGACTCTTGGGTAAAAGAGCAGGTACACATGTCAAAGATGGATGTGCAGTGAACACCATGGAGACAGACACTGCCCTCGGAAGCGAGGCTGTGCTGACCGCCCTGATGAGAGAGGCGGCCCCGCAGGCGGAGCTCTGCCTCCTCCCTGGGGGGCACCTTGCTCTGTGCCGGTGTTACGCGGCCGTCTCCGCATTGCCTGGTGGCTCCAGGGCTCAGGTGACCAGTGCAGGAAAATGTTGCTATTCTGGCTGCTGTTGCTGTGAGCAGTGAATTCCTTTGTTGGGAGTGGGGAGTTGGAAGCCTTGGGGCACTTCCCCCCCCCCCCCGCCCCCAATGTTCATGTTATCTTCCTGAGGCCTGATTAAAGACTGCCTCCACAGGGTCTGTGTGCCATCTCAGCTCCAAAGCTCTTTGGAGTGGGGCCTAGTTTACTATCTGTGGTCACTGGGACAGGCTCGTGCTGAGCTGGTTTGGTGGCAGGGCAAGGGTGGGCTGCCTCGTGTCTTCAGCCTCCCACGGCCAGGTGAGTTATTGCTGCTGCAAGACACCACTCTGAGCAAAGGGTGCTCTCCTCACAGACCCAGGTGGTGATCCTCTAACAGAAACAGTAGACCTTGCAGAGAAGTTAAGCCCCGGACAGCTAGCCCACTCTCAGCCCACTTTTGTAGGCGGAGCGCACGTTTCAGGGCATTTTTAGGTAAAGCCCACTGAGTTCAGTTGGCAGTTAGTTCATTTCTAAGCCTGGGTGGCCTTGTGGTGATTACAGGCAGGTGTCGGCTTCCTCTTTTTGCTGCTCAGTCTCAGAGCCAGGCTTTTCCAGGGCCAGCTCTGGGAACCGGGATAAACCTGGCTCACTGAATGGGCTCCGTGTCTGTGGGAGGGGTGTGGGTGTGGGGAGCTGTTTTTCTGGGGTGACAGTTTGGTGCAAAACACGCAAATCTTTTGAAGCAACTAGGTTTTCAGCCTTTAAGGTTAGTGAGGTTCTCTGTATAGGCTGATGGTACAGAGAAGGAGAGATGCAGTTAACTGGCCTCTGGGACTGGAGAGGGTGTGAGTGGGGGGCTGTCTCTTTCTCAGTATTGACTTCAGAAATGAGACGTCAGAAGGATAAACTGTCAACACCCCGTGTCTGTGTTTGCTTCCAGTGTCCCCATCACAGGGAGCTCTCTGGCCCCTGGGGCCGAGAGACCCCACCCTCTCCCCAGGCTGAAGCCGGAGGGCCCCGAGGTACCATCCTGATGTCGTCTCACAAGGGACCCGCGGTGGCCCAGGGCAACGGGGCTCCCGCCAGCAACAGGGCGGCCGACACAGTGGAGCTGGCTGAGCTGGGACCCCTGCTCGAGGAGAAGGGCAAGCGGGCGGTCACCAGCCCAACCAAAGTAAGTCATCTCCCCGGTCAGCCTCTCCTGAGACCTGTCAGTCTCCCCGGAGCCACAGCGCCCTGGGACCGTCTGACCTGATGGAAGGCAGGAAGCAGTCAGCCCGGATCAGGCCAGGCTCCATAGAGCTATCGAAAATCCCTGCTACTTCGGCCAGCTGGAAGGCTCGTGGGAGGAGCAGGTGCCGCCCCAGGCCGCTGTGGAGGCCACACCTGGCCACTTTATCTGCTTCTTCAGAGTCCCCAAGGGGCGGAGCGGGGACAGAAGGTCCCCTTCCTGGAGGCGCCTGGCAGGGCCTCCTGTACAGCCAAGTAGGCTTTTCACTTTGACCGAGCGAAACCCCAGCAGCACCCCCACTCAGGGAGACCGGGGACTCTGCCCAGACGGACAGAGGATGGATTTGGGGCGGGGTGGGGGGGCGGAGTTCCTCTATCATGAGATCTAAGAGGAAGCCTCGCAGGAGGAACTGTCCTCCCCGCCTCCTCTCTGGAGGTCTCCCCAGAGGTGGGCCCTGTCAGGCTCTCCTGCTGCTGCTTCTGTGGAGCCGGCTCTGAGGCCCGGCTTTCCCCGCAGCCATTGGACACTGTCTGGGTCCCAGGGCTGGTGCACAGCGCACCAATCAGATTGAGACTCTTAGCAGATCTCTGAGCCTCTGTCTTATTCTTCCTCGTTCAGTTGTCTGAACGAGAAGTGTTTGGGAAATTGGGGGAAGCTGAGGGCCACTGTCTTGGAGACAGAGGTGGGCTGCTGGGATCTGAGTGCAGGCCTGGGCTGCTGACCCTGCACCTTGGGCACCGGCTCCCTTGGCCTCTCCCCCGGGCGCTGCAGTGCACTCTCCCCCAGCGCTTGTGACATCGTAAACTTGCGCACCGTCCTGCTTCCGGAGAGCAGACCCAAGGCCTGCAGTGGGCCGAGTGTGCAGGAGAGGCCGGGCAGTGGGCGGCGTGGTCTGGCTCGTGGGTGCCGGACACGCGCGTCCCCGGGGCTCTCGAGGGCTGGAGCCGCTCTCCCCTTCCCCGCAGGCCGAGGAGGAGCAGGCCTGCCCGGGGCCGCAGGAAGAGGAGGAGGAGGTGCGAGTGCTCACGCTGCCCCTGCAGGCTCACCACGCCATGGAGAAGATGGAGGAGTTCGTGTACAAGGTCCTGTCCCGGCAGGGAGGGAGCGGGCTCACCCGCCTGGGGCCGAGACGGGAGCACCGCACCTTTATCAACACACTGAACAAGCATTCATGATGAGCTCTGTTATTAGAGCTTGTCATTTCTGACGATCAGAAACTGATATCTGCAAAACTAAGATGAAACTATCTATGATTTCCACGGGTGACAGAGTCACAAGCTCTAACACTAAACTTGCACACCCGCTGTCTGGACACTGTCTGTTGTCTTTACATCCTAGGTTAAGAACTCTTGCTCCGAAAAGTCACAGTCTCAGCACAGTGAGAACTTAGCCGCTAAAGGGGGCACGATGACAGACAGCCACCAGAATGTGGGCGGAGCGGTAAATCTGTACTACTCGAGTAGCTGAGAGGAGGTCCTGTCATATTCTGACCTGCTTAGCTAAGCACATCCAGATAAGCTCGCTGACACAAGAACAAAGACACCACTAAGCGCGGGTCTGGGGGCAGCCCCGCTCAGAGCATGTGCGGTTGCAGGTCTGGGAGGGCCGCTGGAGGGTCATCCCGTACGACGTGCTCCCGGACTGGCTGAAGGATAACGACTACCTGCTGCATGGCCACCGGCCGCCCATGCCCTCCTTCCGCGCCTGCTTCAGGAGCATCTTCCGCATCCACACAGAGACGGGCAACATCTGGACCCACCTGCTCGGTGAGGGCTCTGGGGGACAGCGGGCTCATCTGCTGCTTGCCCAGGAGTTGTGTGGCCTTTGTCCACGGGAAGGAGAAACACACTGTTGCAATTATGAGGGAGCTGGCGGTGTCTTTAAACCGCCAGGGAGCTCGCAGGGGCCTTCATCACGGGTGTGCAAGCCGAGGGAGACACTGGAATAGATGTCCTCTGTGGTCAGAACCAGCCCGGGGCTGGCAAGCCGGCCCACGTCAGAGAGCCGTGGTCCAAACGAAACGTCAGCACTTCAGTAGAGGCTCTTTCCGTGTGGGTCTGCGGGCGCCCGCAGCCCCGCCTGGAGCGTCGGGGCTGCTTCCCCGCCCCCTCGACCGACCCCCTGTCCCTCCCGCAGGCTTTGTGCTGTTTCTCTTTCTGGGGATCCTGACCATGCTGAGGCCGAACATGTACTTCATGGCCCCCCTCCAGGAGAAGGTGGTGTTCGGGATGTTCTTCCTGGGAGCCGTGCTCTGCCTCAGCTTCTCCTGGCTCTTTCACACCGTCTACTGTCATTCAGAGAAAGTCTCCCGGACTTTCTCCAAGTGAGTCACAAGGATGGCGGTGGGCAAGAACCAGGCACTGTTGTCTTGCCCTGTGATCTGGGTGCTGGCGGGGTCCTGGCGACTGCAGTGACTCATCAAGATTCCCTGATGTTTCGTGGGTGTAAGAGGGTCAGGAAACTTTTCTCTTAAGTCCCTCCTGAAAATTCTCACTGCAGCCTCCTCCACAGACAGCGCCCGCTGGGGGGTAGACGTCGCCCCGCGCAGCGCTGTCCCCTGAGCAGCGGTGCCACAGGCTGCTCTCGGCACCGAGCGCCCGGAGGCGCCCCCTTCCCATCAGGGCGCCGCCCCCCGCGGGCACACCCACCCACCAGCCAGGAAAGCTTATCAGAAGCCCCAGACGCCCATCCTCTCCAGCGCTGAGCCTGCGCTTCTGTTTGCTTGTTTCTGGTGGTGGTATTTTTGGTTTTGGAAGTGATGCTGAGTTATTTTGTTTTTCTCAATAACACCAGTAAAAAGTAATACGTTTTTATTATTAAAAAGTCAACTAAAAGACAACACTACCCCCCTTAGTTATACTCCCACTATAAGGGTTTTGGCTTTAAAACTGTCAGAACTGGGGAATACTGAGAATCCTTCCTGCATGGAAGTTGGGGCCTGGCTGGATTGTGATGGATGGAGCTCCTGACTTTGAGTGCCTGTGAGGGGGTGTGGCTGTTGACAAGCCAGGGGAAAGGGATGCCCTTCAAACGAGTGGGAAACAGGAGTGCCTGACCGTGTGGGGGTCTGAGTCAAGACACAGATGGGACCGTGTGGGAAGTGAGGGGCTCGGTGTGGAGCCTGAGAGCAGTGCAGCCCGCCCTCCCACTAGCCCTTCCATTCTGTGGCTCTTTCAGGCTGGACTATTCAGGGATCGCCCTCCTGATCATGGGGAGCTTCGTGCCCTGGCTCTACTACTCCTTCTACTGCTCCCCACAGCCGCGGCTCATCTACCTCTCCATCGTCTGCGTCCTGGGCATCTCCGCCATCATTGTGGCGCAGTGGGACCGGTTTGCCACGCCCAAGCACCGGCAGACACGAGCAGGTGGGTCGCAAGACAGGGCGTGCCCCTTGTAGGTGTCTGGGCCTTGAGCCTAAGGGGGTCAGCTCTGGGCCCCCACCTAGACCCTGATCTGTGTTTAGAACTTTAAAAACAGCATGAATTTTCAAAGCTCAATTCCCCTGCAAGTTTCATACTATTTCAGTGAAATGTTAATAGGACAGTAATTAAAAGTGCAGAAAAAACTACTTTGATACCTGGTTTGAGGAAGTTAAGAAACGTACAAAACACAGTCTAGCTCACCTGGAGTTCTCTTCCTAAAGGAATGAGAGGCGTGGCTCGGTAGAGAAAGCACCTTGAGCACGAGCCGTGTTGAGGAACGTGGTTGCTGTGAGCAGGAGCCCTTCCTGGTGTCTTGTCCAGACTCCAGCTTTACTGCAGCCACACGCCAATCACCACTGTCTCCAGTCCCTTGAGACTTAACATCACTGTAGTTTAACCCTCATTTAAGAGAGTTAACTATTCCTCGAGCACCAGCCAACTGCAGGCTGGTGCCTCACCCAGGGTGTCTGCAGAGGTGAAATGGAGCCCTGCCCTGCAGCCATGGGTAGGGTCCTGGTGTGGAGCGGGCGCCATCTGCCCTTTCTTTTATGACTTTTCGCCTGAGTCTGTCTCCTCTGGAGGTCAGAGTCCTATCCTTAAGTCTTCTGTGCTCTTGATGGGAAGCTCGTCCTGCTCATTTCTGGCTGGCAAACCACCTGCGGGCTCACCGTTTCGGTTTTGCAGCCAAGGCAGCCATCAGAGTTTTGAGGTCCATGATCACCTAGGCTGCTTAACAGGTAATAAAGAGCACAAGGTGTTTGTTCTTGGCACTCCATAGGAGGGAATGGCTGTGTCAGCATTTACCCAGCCTCCTTCCCACTCTGGACGTTGAAGAAGCATCTGATGATGGCTCTCCGTGTTGTGCAAAATTTCCTGAATACGTGCTGCTCACCAGAAACTTGTGTCAGAGTAGGGCAGCAGGGCCATCTCCGTGCCTGACACGCTCCATCTGTCTGCTCAGGGGTGTTTCTGGGGCTTGGCCTGAGCGGCGTCGTGCCTACCATGCACTTCACAATCGCAGAGGGCTTCGTCAAGGCCACCACGGTGGGCCAGATGGGCTGGTTCTTCCTCATGGCTGTGATGTACATCACCGGAGCCGGCCTCTATGCTGCACGCATTCCTGAGCGCTTCTTCCCTGGAAAATTCGACATATGGGTAAGAAACGACTCTTCCACAGGGCTGTGGTGGTGAGAGTGCCCGGAGGTGGAGGTCGGAGTCAGAGGCAGAGAGAGGCCCGGGGCAGGTGGAGTCGGGGTGACGCGTGTCCCTGCTCACGCCGGTGCGTGTGGGCAGGCGAATCCCTGACAGGAGTTACACTTTTTTTTTCTACAACAAATTTATCAGTTTATGGTGCAGAAAATTTTGCGGAGGAACTAGAAGAGGCGACTGCCTCCTCTACTTCCTCAGCTCCTTGCCATCGCCCTGAAGCTCCTCTTTTGTCCCCACAGTTCCAGTCTCATCAGATCTTCCATGTCCTGGTGGTGGCGGCCGCCTTCGTCCACTTCTACGGGGTCTCCAACCTTCAAGAGTTCCGATACGGCCTGGAAGGGGGCTGTACTGACGACTCCCTCCTCTGACCCGCCCCCAAGGGCGCAGGAGGAACTTCCCAAGTGCTTTTAAAATAACTTCGTTGCTGAAGTGAGAGGAAGAGTCTGAGTTGTCTGTTTCTAGAAGAAACCTCTTTAGAGAATTCAGTACCGACCAAGCTTCAGCCCACTTCACACTCACTGGGCAATAAACTCTCCATTCCCTCGCTGAGGAAGGTGGGGGAGGGCAGGCGCAGCCACCCTGCCCCCGGCCGCCCCCTCGGCCTGGTACCTGCTGTCCCCTCCCAGAGATGGGGCTGGGAAGCTCACGGTGAGCTCTGATCCCTCCTCGCTCCATTCTGGGGACAAGCGATGGACTGGGACTCTTCAGAAATTCCGCTTCTGGAAGAAACTGCCCCTCCCTCACCCCCACCGTGACATGTGACCTGGCTTACACCAGGCCGTCCGTTTTTGTAGCACACTTTTCAGAAACAGTTATAACCTGGTCCCGTCCTTCTGGGGCCTGGGCCTGCTCACGCGGCAGGAAGAACAAAGCCACCAACTGTCACACAGCCCGGCTAATCATGGAAGTGTGTCCAGGCTCCAGATAACTTGAGTTTTAATTTTTTTCTTGGCAGAGTAATGTAAAATTAAAAGTGGGGAGAGATATTTAATATTTAATACTAAGCTTTAAAAAGAAACCTGCTCTCATTGCTATGTATCTTGATGCAAAGACTGTGATGATAATAAAAGTGCAGAAGACACTTGGCACTCTGTAACCGGTGTGGTCTCCGCTCTTCACCTCTAACCCCAGAGGGCTGAGGCCAGCAACGCCGCTCCAGACTCTGCTGAGGCACAAGCCTGAATCCCAGGTGCTGCTGGCTGGCAGGGGCGGGCCAGCGAGTGAGCCCAACTGACCCCAGGGTCTGCTCCCCCAGGCCGCTTTGCCCGTCTCTACTCGGGACGCAGACGCGCCCTGGAGGAGTCAGTGTGCTGTGGCAGCCTTCCGTAACTAGAAGATGCCTGCCATGAACATAAGCGGTCTGCCCCGAGATACTGCAGACTTCAGGTCCTTTAAAACTGCCGTGATTAAGGCTGTCTCATCAAGAGGTCACTCCACACTTTCTGTGCCTTTGCGTATTGTCCTCAGCCTGACACAAGTTCTGTCCACTGGATACAAAAGGCCTGCAGTGGTCACTCGTGAGCTAGTATAGGTGTCGCATGGGAGTCTTCACAAGTTAAAGAGTTGGATTCACTTCAGCAGTCCATTTGAACAACCAGGTGAATAAATGATCCTTTTAAAAAATTTGAACGAGGCCAACAGATCTCTGCCTCCAGTGCTAATCAGGGAAACGTAAAACCAAACTGACTCCTACCAGATTGGTACAAATTAAAAATCTTAAGATGGTAGGCTTTCCTGGTGGTCCAGTGGTTAAGAGTTCACCTGCCAATGCAGCGGACATAGGTTCAATCCCTGGTCTGGGAAGATATCATATCCCTTTGGGCAACTAAGCCTGTGTGCCCTAGAGCCTGTGCTCTGCAACAAGAGAAACCACTGCAATGAGAGACCTGTGCACCACAACTAGAGAAAACCCCTGCCCATCAATGAAGACGCAGAGCAGCCAAAAATTCTAAGATTGCGTGTTGGTACAGATGTGGATCTGACCAGATGCTGCTGGGGAATCATCCACAGGACAACTTTGGATGTATGGAGTATACACAGGTTACAACATTCAAACATTACATGAAACAACACTACAATGTGAGCTGCATCTGATATCTGTCCTAAGTTACTTCGTTTAAAAAATGCTGGGAAAAAAATAAATAAATAAAAAATGCTAGGAGACTTCTCTGGCAACCGGTTAAGCAACTCCAGTGCTTCCAGCACAGGATGCTTAAAATGTTTTTTTTTAAATGCTGGTTCTGACTAAGTTGTTTCATAACTCATCAGTGGGTCACAACTCACATTTTAAAAAACATTACCCTTGAGAAACTTAGCTTGTACTAAAAAGTTTCACTGTAGCTGTACATAGTAGCAACAAGCCAATGTCCAGAACTACTGAGTGGAAAAATAAAGCTTGGTTCATTCTTAAGAAACAGTTCAGCAATGAGAGCTAGTTATCCTAAGGACAACGCGGCTGAAACCTCAAGGTTAGGAAAAGGGAGTGGGGCTACTTAGATACTACACCTGGTGTGATTGCTCTGATGTGCTGTTCAAAAATGCACAGAATCAACTGAGCAAAGAAGTCTCAAACTGCTGACCTGCAGGCTGCAGACATTCACAGCTGTGCTCCGTCTGGGCTGCACAGTGGAAGCAACCCACCTCAGCCCAACAGCAGCCCTGTCGCTACAGAGGGCTGCCTCTAAGGCTCACCCTCAGCCCTCCCAGCAGCGCAGCCGCCTGTCTGGCCCCCGGAGGCATCCGCTGGTACAGAAAGGACCACATCTGGTCCAGCTCCATCCGTGTTCTGCCTGAGGAGACAGAGACCCGCAGCTTTGGTGAGGGCCTGAGTGTGTGTCCTCATTGCTGGCAGACAGGACCAGGGAAAGGGTCTAAGCGAGGACGTCTACTGAGCATCTTCTTCGTACTTTATTTTTGGCTGTGCTGGGTCTTCGTTGCCATGTGCAGGCTTTCTCTTGATGCAGCGAGCGGGGGCTACTCTTCATTGCATGGGCTTCTGGTTTGGGGGGCTTCTCTTGTTGCAGAGTACAAGCTCTGGGCATTCGGGCTTCAGCAGCTGCAACTCCCGGGCCCTAGAGCACAGGCTCAGTAGGGGTGGTGCAGGGGCTGAGCTGCTCTGTGGCGTGTGGGGTCTTCCTGGACCAGGCATCGAACCCATGTCTTCTGCATTGACAAGTGGATTCCTCTCCACTGGGTCACCAAGGAAATCCTTTGTACTTTCCATATGTCATGTTGTTTTTACTTTTAACCCTATTAAGTAGGTAGTAGTATCCCATTCCACAGATGAAAACGTTAAGGCCCTAAATGACCAAGACTTTTTCACAAGATGGCAGGATCAGAGTATCTGAATCCAGATAATTCTGACTTAAACCCCAGGTTCCAAAGCCTCAGATCATTAAAAAATCCCGATTTGACTATCCAGCCTTGCCTTCACCAACTCTGCTAAGTAGCAGCAGGGATTACCTTCTTTCTGTAACTGCATGCTATGGTTCATTCATTTCCTAAATATTCGTTGAGGGCACTATAGGAGAAAAGTGATGAGAGAAACAGTGATGAGTTCTGATTAAAGAAAGGCTAAGAATAAAACCTAAGACTGACTCTACCCTCTTCCAATCAGGTAAACAATTAGGGAAGAGACTAATCTCTAGTTGTAGAATGTCTATTGCCTTGCAATCTAAGAAAGGTTCAGCAACACCCTGTGTTTGGAGAAGTCCTTGACCCAAAATCTGCTGACAAAGGAGTCCCATCTCCCCAGCAAGTGTCTTCCTCAGTGTCTGCCTTATCTTCAGTCAGGGCCAGGAACCAGCCCTTGGGGGCATGAGCTAGGGCTGGGAGCAAATTCACAAAGAATTTCAAAGCAGCAGCTGTGACCCTGCTGTGATTGCATTCCATAATTATGAGACACATTCTCCTGTCTGCCATGCTCTGATGGCACAAAAATGCAGTGCACTCTGCCTCACTGGTTTTGAGATTTGATCCACATTCGATGTACTTGATGTAGAGCTCCACAACACATCCATGTTACCCTTACTGAAACCCTTCAGTAGCTGTCAACACCCAGAGTGATCCCAGGAGTCCAAACACAAAGGCAGGGCAATGTGTGGAACCTGATCCACTCACCTCATCCAGACACAGCCCTCCAGCAATGGACCTAAGAACTCAGAATCAGTATGGGCTGCAGGGTACCGAGTCAGATATCCAAAGTTTAGAAATGTTCTCACATACGGACGGTGTCCCCATGATTTGACTCAAAACATGTTAGGGCTGTACCCTTGAAGAAAACAGGAGAAGCCTGACTAGTCACCTTGGTGCGTTGGCTTTCTTGCTGGCAGTTTCTCCATCTTTTACTTCTCAGGAAAAGGAGAGGACTTTTTCTAAACCAAAGCGTCTTTTATTCAGTTCCTTCTCATATTTGGAAAAACTCTTAGTTTTGCAGCCAGGAATTAGGCAATATCATTAAAGCATCTAGATGCTATTCTGCAGCCAGAAGACAAGGGATTATTTTTATTTAAATTATACATAAAGTCCACATGATGTAAAGTTCAAAAGGCGCAAAAATAGGTAAAGGAGAAAATCTCTCCCACCCTGTCTCCCAAACAACCAGTTCCTCTCTCCAAAGAAATTTGTTACTACTCTACTTTGTATCTTTCCGACTGCAATTTTTATACATATACTGGCAAATATGACTATACCTTTCCCAACCCTTCTACACAATTAATGGCAAAGTATACACACTGTTCACAACTTCGTGGTATTGAATTGTATGGATGCACCACACATTTTCTGAAAGAGTCCCCAATCCAATCTACAAACAACCTTGTACACACATCCTTTTTCATGTGTGCGAGAATATACAAAGTATAGATACACCGAAAAAAATCGCTGTTAAAGGATATCTGCATTCATCATTCTGGTGAACTTTTACAAAATGCCCCCCCTCAAAAAACCTGTATCAATCCTGCACTCAGAAATATGGAAATCAAGAGAATTTTAGATCAGAGATACTACATGAGAGATGGAAACACTACATAAAATTAGACTATTAGACTGCTACCCGCTCGGCCACAGTTTTATTATCCCTCAAGAATCAAGGGCACCACAGAGGAAAACGGTACACTCAAACATAACTGGTTTGAATCTTCACAGGAACAGTATCAAGGAACCTAATTCCCTTCCCCGGAGCTGAGATAGGTCCGCCAAAACCAATCAGTAGCAAAATTTCTAGCAGAATGCTCAGCACCCAGAAGCTGTGAAAGGCAGCAGCAGCAGACAGGGGGCCTGAGGACCCCCGGGACGTCTAAGGTCCTTCGGAGTCTCCTGGGCGGAGTCCAGCTTCCAGGGCCGCACGCCCCTTCCACGTAACTGTCTCGGAGGGCAAGCAGCAGAGAGCCGCGCGACGGTGGCCACGGGCCCGACTGTGACGCAGAGAAGGCCGAGGTCCGTGGTCGCGGGGCTCTGGGATTCTCACCACAGCGATGGTCGGCCCGAAAAGGCCACTACGGACTATGAACGGGAGGAAACGGGACGCCGCGGTGGGTTTTCTCGACGAGAGAGGGCGCCTGAACGCCTGTCAGGTGAAACGCCCCCTGCGGCCAGCTTCCTACCTTGGGAACCTCCGCACTTCTCTCGGGTCGCCGCTCCTCGAGGCCCCAGGGCCCGCGGTCTCAGGGAGTCTTGGCCACGGGCCGCACCCGAGCAGGGGCCCGCACCCCTTCGCGTCGCGTCCACCCACTCCGCTCAGGCCCGCCCGCGGCGCCCGCGGTCACGTGACGGCGGCCCCGCACGTGACGCGAGTGGCCGTGACGTCATCACGGCGCGCGGGCGCGGCGCCGGAGCCTCAGGGTCGGGGCGGCGGCGCTTGGGCACCTCCCGGGCCGCCCGCTCGCCCCGCGCCCGCCCCGCTGGCTGGAGCGCAGGTGAGTGGCCCGGGGGCGGCGGCCGGCGCCCTCCCCCGCCGCCTCACCCGCCGTCGTCCCCTCAGGGCGGGCGGGGGTCTCCAGGCGGCGAGCGCCGCGACCTCCGTCTGGAGGCTGTCGGGGAGGGGGGCGCCGCTGTTGTAGTCGCCCGCCGGGAGGCGGCCCCTCCAGCGCGGGGCTCGCGGGGGCCCCGGATCCGGTGCCCTGGGGCGGAGCGTGGCCGGGTACTCCGGGCGGGGGACAGCCGCACGCTGGGGCCGTGTCTGTCTGACAGGCAGAGCCGGCTCCGACCCGCCGCCCCAAGGTCCTCATCGTACAGCGGCGTTCGTGCGGGCCTTTCTCAGTCTCCAGATTTGAAACGAAGTTGACTGAAGGAAAGTCTTTCTGGAGATCATCTTATGCCTGGGTGAACCACCTCCTTTTCTGTAAAATGGATCCTGTAAGGTGGTTGGAGCGCTTAAGGAATAGTACACTACCTATAAACAGGAATAGATGAGGATTTAGGATCTCGTTTTCCCTGTTCGTATAAAACTATGTGAGTTGTGGATTTTTGAAAGCCATAGTTTGATTTAATTTTCTTGGATCCTTTCAGAAAATCTTGGATTCCACATAAAAAAGACTCTCTTAGTAACCTTCCAATTTCATTCCCAGAAATTGTCCTTGAAGCAAATAAACAAAAATAAAATAATAATAACTGCAACTTGTCATAAATCAAGAAATTACTTTCTATTAATTTTTTAACGTGTAGCCTGTTACTGAGTTCATTTATGTGTACAAGTGAAGTTTACAAGTGACTGGCTTGGCCATAAAATTAGTAGTAGTGTTTTGATAGGTTTTCTATCCCAGTAATTCTCTCATAGAAGAATTACTACAAATATTGTTAATAATGATGAATGTTTACTAATGATTAGAGTAGGGAGACCTTTCTATAGAACTTCAATAGCTTAAGCTTGCATGGTCTCCATTATTTAGTGTAGGTATCAGATCCTCTGGAGAAGGCTAATGGCATCCCACTCCAGTATTCTTGCCTGGAGAATCCCCATGGACAGAGGATCATGGCGGGCTACAGTCCATAAGATCACAGAGTCGGACATGACTGAAGTGACAGCATGCAGGCATGTATTGGGTTCTCATTTGAAGTTTCATTTTAAGAAGAAATCCAAATATAGTTGGAAGTCATCATAGATAATTAATTGTGTGCTTCTTTAGAAAAAGTTTATTTTCACTGATACTGGCCTTTTGCTCTAGATTGAGGGCACAGTTCCTTTCTTACATTCTGTTAACATTTATTATACACTGCTAGGAGAGAAAATATATATATAAAACTGGGGCCCCACCCTCTACAAATATTCAGCTACTTAATCTTCTTTAGGGTATTAAAAATAGTGACATCACACCTTTAAGAAATTGTATCTTCTGATTTTTATCATGAGAGATAGCAGCCTTGTGGAGATAGGTGAGAAAGGAACAGTTTCTTTCTACTTACAGCAGAGTGTTGATGACAACAATGTCAGGTGGTTTGGGCACTCCATGACAGGGGGAATTCAGAGCGAGGAGAGATCAGATTTACTCTGGGGAATTAGTGGCTGGGTTGTGTTGGTAATGCCAGGAAGAGGAGTGCGCTCTACTTGTGGATGTTGGTAATGCCAGGAAGAGGAGTGCGCTCTACTTGTGGATGTTTGAGTCTGATGGAGCCGCCTTCATTTGTCAAGCTAACTGAATATATTTGGTGTCCCCAGGCCTTCACATATGCTAATTGGTTTTGTTTCTTGTACTTACAGAATCCAAGGATCCCTTTCATTCTCTCTACATATTGCTTGATGAGAGGCATTATGGCTCCCAAAGACATAATGACAAATACTCATGCTAAATCCATCCTCAATTCCATGAACTCCCTCAGGAAGAGCAATACCCTCTGTGATGTGACACTGAGAGTGGAACAGAAGGACTTCCCCGCCCACCGGATCGTGCTGGCTGCCTGCAGTGATTACTTCTGCGCCATGTTCACCAGTGAGGTACGTGGCTAATCATCTCCTCACAAGTGGAACCCACACACGTCACCTCGTGGGTATCTCATTTCACGGAATGAAATCGTGGAAGTTCTATATAATCATGAATTTCTATAGTCCGGTGTTCAATGGCAGACTCTGGATAACATCTGCCATTTGTGCATTAGTTTTCTCATTTCAGAATGAGAAATAATAGTAGTACACAATTTGATATGGTTATTGTGACAATTACCTGAGAAACTTATATGTGACGTGCTTAGAACAACATCCAACATGTAGCAAACACACATGTCAGCTCCTGGATTTTACTTACCAGTGTTTTAGTTTATTTTCCTATTTTCTTTCTTCTGAAGTTTAACATTTTAAAGAGAATACCGGGGAAGAGGGAGGAGGGAAGGAAAGAGCAGTAAGACTCCGTCCTCCTCCCACTCCTTCCTGCAGTGTGTGAGGAAAAGCGGTCTTCCTCCTCCCGGGGGAACGCTAGTGCAGTTGCTGGTGGGTGGCAGAGAACTGGTGCCTGGCTGTATGGGCACAGGAGACATCACCAGGAGGAAGACGCCAGCTCGGGAACAGAAGCCCTTAACCGGGGAATTAGGAACAGGCTGGCCTGGCAAGAAAAAAGGTAGTGCTCACAAAGTGTTAGGAAGAAGACTGCCTTAGTGATTGCCTGGCAAGACACCCAGTGTGTGGAGGAGCTGCTGAGTCATGAGGGACTTGGAAAACTGAGCAGAGGCGATCACTCTCAGCTTCCAGGATTGCAAGTCTGATTTTATTTTTAATAAATTGTCTCGATTATGTCATTTATCTGTACTTGTACATAAGCCTGACATACGGCATCACGGTAATCATGTCATGATAACGACAGTCACTGGCCTGTGGGCCAGATGGTGTGTTAGATGACTGCCTGTCCCACTCACCCCAGGCATGATTGTTAGCATCTCATTTTACAAGGGAGGAAATAAGGTCTCACATACGAAATGCTTTAGAGCTTATAAATGGTACAGAGGATTTAATACTAAGTTAACTTAACTTGGTTTGCCATTCTCCTCTCCAGTAACTTAACTTGATTCTTATTTTGATGTTTTCATCGTAAAGCCAGAGTGTGTGTGATGCTGAGTCAGTGCTCAGCCACATGGCTGGCAGGGAGAATGTAGACACCTGACCATTTGCCCCAGTGGATCCAGGGTAACTTTAAAGGGACCCTGTGCAGGGTGACATTGCAGATCCTGTCCTGTCCTGTCTCCTACAGTGTCTGCCTGTGAGCACCAGAAGCGCTGGTGTTTAACTGGGCAAGGAGAGTGTCACCCGGCTGCCAGCAGGAAGCACGCAGGACGCGTCACACAGCGTGCATCCTGTCTTCGCTCTTTCTCTGCATGTCTGAAAATGAACTCCCTTTTATTTTTTTCTCACCAGGATTTTGTAGTCTTCCTATAAAAACTGACATCAGGCAAGAAAATGCTGAATGGTTCATGTCTTTCTCAGTGGAAGTGTAACTGACCTACAGCACTGTGTTTGAGGTGCAGAACGTAGTAATCCAATACAACATAAGATGATCACCAACAAGTCTCGTTACCATCTGTCACTCTTCAGAGTTATCTCAGTGTTACTGACTCATTCCCCACCCTGTGTATTTCATCCCTGTGACTGGTTTATTGTGGAATTGGAATTTTGTTCCTCTTAATTTCACTTTGTCCCTCATCTGTTTCACTCTGTCTGACTTAGCTCACTTAATATCAATGTGATAATCTGTAGGCCCTTCCATGTTGCTGCAAATGGCAGTATTTTTTATTACTTTTTTATGGCTAATATTCCATTTGTGTGTGTGTCCCACGTATATACCGCATCTTCTTTATTCATCCGTTGATGGACATTTAGGTTGCCTCCATGTCTTGGCTATTATAAATAGTGCTGCTATGAACATTGGAGTGCATGTATGTTTTCAAATTAAAGGTTTCATTTTTTTCTAGAAATATGCTCAGGAACAGTATTTCTGAATCATATGGTAACTCTTATTTCTAGTCTTTTAAGAACCTCCAGACTGTTCTCTGTACCCTTGGATTTATTTTTAAGACTAAATGATTTAAACAGGAGGGTCCAGAGACCTGGATTTTAGGTTCAGTTCTCTTAGAAATTCTGTGTGAACCCTAAAAACCATCTAACTTTACTAGGTTGTCTGTCGACAGAATAATGAAACCTAGTGGTGTCTTCATTCTCTTCCAGCTCTAGATTTCTCCATAAATGTGGTGCTACTGAAATAGCACAGGGTGAGGCAGGAGGCCTGGCTTCAACCTGTCTCTTATTATTAATAGTTAAGACCTTGGTTAAGTCATGTTGTTTCTCTGAAGCTTAGACCCTTTGTGTCTTAAATGGCAGTGATAGCAGACCTGATTGCCTTACCAGGTTGCTGTGACCATCATATGAAATAATAGTAAATGAGAGGCACTCTGAAAAATTGTAAAGCGAGTATTAATGTGAAATGCTACAGTTGCTGTAAGTTCTTAGATAGTAAACTCATTTACATATTTAAACTGTTTGGCTAATGGGGATATAATTTACTGACTAAGAAACTCCTGCAATGAATGTACTTATTTATTTCTGTTCGTAAATACTTACAGTTGGTAAAATGTTTTTCCAAAATAATGTGCTGGTGACATTTTTTGGTTTTGGGGATTTATTTTATTCTTGGCTTTGTTAGAGAATACTTTTTGATTATTATTCTGGACTGATGAAGGAATCAAAGTTGATAAAGATGTTTAGTTTATAATGGACGTACACTGGAGTTTTGTAAGTAATTGAAATTTCTAAACTAAGATCTAGTAAAACTTTCATAAGGTAACCAGTTTTCAGATAGTTACTCTCGTATAAAGGTGACAATTTCCAGCCTTAGACAAACCATTTTCTATTCTTATCTGGCCTCAACTATACTCATAACCCCAAGGATATAGTCTAGACTAAATGGACCACCAATAATTCAGTAATCCCAGAAGAGAATCAACCCAGTATTTGAGGAAGTATCAAACAACCCAGTTGTCTCAGTGGTACAGTGGAAGGCCCTCAAGGTGGCCAGCGGGCAGTCTCAGCACAGGTGGCACAGTGCTGGCTCGTTCTGGAGGGTCTGCAGCCGGAATTCAGCAAAGTTCATGTTTCATCTGAAAAGCCATGGACACTAGTGGAATGCTCATGGAACTTTTGGCTCTATTCCATGTCTGTATTTGTTTTAATATGAAAGCAGCGTATTAAATTATTCACAAGTAAAATTGATATTCTCGGAAGGTGTCACTTCTATGTGCTCTTGGGTTGCACATAGCTCCCCCTATTTGAAAAGCTGTAAATATATGCTGCATTTGCTTTGCACAAATCAAAATAGACAACCTTTTTTTGTTAAAGATGTGTATGCAGTTAATATTGTTGACATCCCTTCAAGTGTTCGGTACGAGCCTCTGCCTTAATCTTGTGGAATTGTAACCACCGTGATTTCATACCCCTTTCACTTTCAGCTTTCAGAGAAGGGGAAACCGTATGTAGATATTCAAGGTTTAACTGCCTCGACCATGGAGATCCTGTTGGACTTTGTGTACACGGAGACTGTGCACGTGACGGTGGAGAATGTCCAGGAACTGCTCCCCGCAGCCTGCCTGCTTCAGCTGAAAGGTACAGGTGCTGAAGGTGTTCGTCCCACAGCGGCCTGGAGACATCTAAAGTCGTGACATAAACTTAGTCATAGGAGTGAGGGGGCAGTGGGCTCAGGTTTGATGCCCATGACTGCAAAGCTGAGGTTTCAGTCACAGTGTAGAGGAGCCTCCAGGTGAGCATCTCTGGCTCTTTAGTAAAGACAGCGCGTGCTTTCTGTTTGTAAAAGCATGCAGGAAGGGCTAGTAGAGGCCTTTCCTTCCGTCTTTGTGCACAGCCGTCCTGTAGGGGGTCATGAGACACAGTTACAAGTCATTGCCTCCATGGAAGGGAGCTACAGCAGGTGCCCGAGTGGGTAAGGAGGCTGGGGGACCACTCACATGGACCATTTAACCTTCTGAACCATATAAATTATCTATTAAACAGTTAAATTGACACACAAAAGTGAAAGTGTAAGGTTTTCACAGGACTGGAGATGGTTCCCCTTCCAGGTGCCAATCAGCTCTAACCTCCAGGTCTGTTTCTGTTATTTTCAGTTTTTAGAACGTGATTGAAGGAGTGCAAGGCCTTTGAATTAGTGCACAGCTCTAAAACGAATGTTACACTCGGAGCTTTTCAGTTAGAGAAATATGAGATTGTTATCAGTCCCTCCTGTTTTCCTTCTTTGGAGTCTTGCAGTAAGTTTTCACCTGGAGTAGGAATTAGGTACATTGTGCTGAATGACAGTTGGTTTTACAGCTTGATGTCCAGGAGTTTTACAGGCATGTCTAATTGTGGCGGTGTCCATAAACACAATTCGTCCTGCTGTACTTGTTTTAAGGCTGCAGCCCACATTTATAAAGCCTTGCTGAAGGCTACATAGCACAGAAGAGAGAAATAGGATTTGAATTCCCAAAGTATGAAATTTCTAAACTGATTCTTAGGCATTGAACCAGGGTCCCTCTGATCCCACTGGGAGAGGTTGTGATCCAGGGACAGAGGCCCGTCCCCTGCCATGCATCCTCAGGACCCCTGTCTGTGTCTGTCTAGGCGTGAAGCAAGCCTGCTGCGAGTTCTTAGAAAGCCAGCTGGACCCTTCCAACTGCCTGGGCATCCGGGACTTCGCTGAGACTCACAACTGTGTTGACCTGATGCGAGCAGCTGAGGTTTTCAGCCAGAAGCATTTTCCTGAAGTGGTGCAGCATGAAGAGTTCATCCTTCTCGGCCAGGGAGAGGTGGAGAAGCTCATCAAGTGTGACGAGATCCAGGTGCCGCCTGCTTGGTGTCCGCTCTCTAGGGCGGCCAAGGCCCAGGCACGGTGCAGCCGCTGTGCTTCTATGGCAGGGCTTTTAGTCAGGCGTCCACATTACTCTAGGGTTTCAGCGCGCGCCCCTGAAATTGTATGCCAAGTCTATTTGCATGTTTGTGGGAGGCAGATCACTTCTTCCTCAATGAAATCCCTGACCCCAGTGGTTAAGAGTCACTCTTAAACAGTATGGAATAAGCAGAAATGGGAAGTTAAGTAGATTTTTGTAAATACGGCTCTTGTTACCCATTCACTTCTTTTGAAACATGTACTGAGAGTGTCTCCCATGCAGCAGTCACAGGCTGGGTGCTGGGGAGCCAAGAGTGAGTAAGGCACAGTCTTGTTTTCAGGGAATTCAGTGTCGTAGTGGGGACAAATGAAAAGACGCACGTGATGACAGTGTCGGGAGAGTCACGAGCCTGTTCAAAGCGAGGAAGAAGAAAGAAGAGTAAACCTTCTGGGTCTAGATGAGACGGTAGAGGAAGTAGATCGAGAAGGATGAAGCAGAGAGTTGGAGATGGCAAGCAGGGGCGCGGCGGTCGGCACCTCTGGGCGTGCAGCGGCTCTGCTGGCCGAGTGCGGCCGCGGTGGCGCCCCGCCGGCCCGCGCCCCGCGTCCAGGGACGCCGCCCCGCAAGGAGGAGCTTGCTGGCTGCGTGTAGGTCTGTAGCTAGGCGGGGACCCCGACTGCGTGCAGCAGGGCTGTTGTGTCGCTGAGGCCGGCAGCCACCTTGGCCGCCCAGCTTTCCCGTTAGGAGCTTCTGGAGGCACCGAGCCGAACCTCGTTCTTGGGGAGGAGTCCCGTCTGGGGGCTTTGCTCCCCGCACTGAGGAGACAGCGATCCTCAGGGAGGGTCCTCTGGGGAGGCTGAGAGTTCCTCTCTCTCACTCTCCTCAGATAACAGTGAAAAATGACTTTAGATGACTGGATCCCAGAAGTTCATGGCACCTCAGTAGAAACAAGAGGTATTAATATATTGGAAAGAAAGTTTCACTGGCCCCCTAAGTGCTAGAAAAGGAATTTGTTACTTAAAGTCTGTAATATGTTCAGTAAGCATACTCAGTAAGCGGATTTATTTTGTTAAAACTAGGATTTTCACACCATAACAAGTCTAAAGTATGTCTCTTATCAGCATTTACCCAGCTTTGTGTTGGCACCTCTGCCGGGTGATTTTTCTGAGGGAACTTGATTGGGGCACGTCCACGCCCTTCTTTCTGACTAGGTTCACGTGTGGTTCACGTCTGCCTGAGACGCTACTCCTGCAAAGGCTTCAGGGCCAAGTGTCTGACCTTCTGTTCTCACCTGTTCTCGCCCGTGGGGCGCGGGGGGAGCTGGGTCCTCGCCCGGGATGCCAGACCAGTGGTAGAAGGGGCCCCACAGACATAAATTTCACTGCGAACACTCATAAATAACCAACTGCTTTATCAAGTATTTATTGAGTTCTTCCCACGCGCCCAGAGCGATTCTGGGCTGGGGATCCAGTTATGGACAAAATAGACCAAAAGCCTTGTACCCTGGGGTTTTCATTCTCACGGTACCATTCTTAGCATTTTAAAATGTTATTTAATTCTCAGAACCGTCTCCAGTTTTCCAAGATGAGTCATCACCCACACACAGCTCAAGGGGCAGGATTTAGCTGCCTTCGCCTCAAGACTGCTCTCAACCAGGGGGCAGGGAGGGAAGCGACGCCTCTTTGTTTCTGCTTGACCGAAGCAGGAAGCCTTCACTTTAGAACAGTGGAGACTGTGAATAAAACTGGATGGAGCAGGGAGGGCAGTGAACTAACCTCTTCAGAAGCCAGGATTAACTCTTCTGTACCATCTTCCTCAAGTATCTGGCGAGAATGGCCTTTGCTTTTGTCAGCAAATGACATTTTTTTCTCTTTCATATGCCAGCCAGAAGCAGGAACCAGATGTCTGACCCTGTTGCTAACTAACGCTTCCTCTGGATCATGTGAAACAATAGCACTTGAAACAACGGAGGCAGTGTATCATGTTGTTTAAAACAACATGGGCTTCAGAGTCACTCTGGAGTTTGGTTTTGGCTGTGTGGCGTGTGTTCCTAACCACTGATCTTCAGATTCCTCTTCCATAAAATGCAGAAAATAGTTGTACTTAGTACGTAGGGCTGTTGTAATGTCGACTGATACATAGAAGAATTCTCTGTGGAAATTTATTGCAGAGAAATTTTCTCTATAGTGAAGCATTAATGTTGGGGGTTCTCCTCTCAGTTTAGCTTTCTCTGCAATGCTAGTTTATTCTGTCTTCAGTAAGATCAAGGACCTCTGCTTATGATGGAAAAACCCCATTTTCAATGGATGTATCTCACTGAAACCTAGAATGTGTCAGAGTCCAACACTCAGCTATTCAGAACTATGAGCCTGTTGTCCTTACCAAAGCCACAGTCCATTCAGAAATCACGGCCCCGCATCTGCGCCCCCCCCCCCCCCCNNNNCCCCCCCCCCCCGCGCCTGGTCCATCAGCAGACTGGGCTTGCCCGGCCCCTGTGAGCGCAGTGTACAAGGCCTGTCAGCACTGCCGTCATCTCGGCCGCCCCACCTGCCTGCTGGGCCCAGGGTAGCCCTGACGGGGCTTCCAGCGCACAGCCCTCTAAACCATCCTCCCGCGGTCGCTAGAGTAACTTTACAAAACATTCTTGTGGTCCTGTCACTCACCTGCTTGACACCTTTTCACAGTTTGGAGGAAAATCCAGTCTTCTGGTGCTGGGTTTGCTTCTCCAGCTTGACCTTTTCCGTCGCCTCCCTTGCTCATCCTGCCACACCAGGCTCTGTCATTTCCCAGGCTGTCCAATAGAATGTTCTGTGACGATGGAAAGGCCCTGTGTCTGTGCTGGCCAGCTCACTGGCCCCAAGCACTGGTGGCCTTGAGCACCTGTGAAGTGCGGCCAGTGGGACTGAGTTTGTTTTTCCTCGCTGCACCGCACGGCTTGCAGGACCCCCTTCCCAGACCAGAGATCAAACCAGGCTCCCTGCATTTGAAGTACCGTTCTAACCATTGGCCTGCCAGGGAATTCCTGAAGCTGGATTTGTAGTTTTACCTCCACTTGAATTAATGTAGATGTCAGTGGCTCGTGTGGTCATGGCTGCTGTATTGAGCAGTGCGGTTGTACAACTTCCCCAAGCTCTTCCTGTCTGCTGAGGCTAACTGCTGCTGCTTCGCCAGGTTGAAACCTGTGGCTCCTACAGGAAGCCTTCCCTGTCCTGTCAGTCTGCATAAAGAAATCTCAAGTTCAAGTCAGTCTGCCTCCAGCCCCTGGACTTTTCCTGTTTAGTATATAATGACAAAGTGGGATTGTTCATTTTTCTGACTTAACAGTTATCTCCCCACTTAAGAGGAGGGTTCGTGTCTGATTTGTTCTTCCAGAACAGTTCCTGGCACTTAGTAGGTGTTTGATAAATTCATCAAATGAACGAACGTTTGGAAGCATTTTCTGTACTTTGAGTTCTTGGGAGAAGTCCCCAGAACAGCTTCTCTCTGGGCGCTGTCACGCTCTGAGGACCCCAGGACCGGCGGACTCCAGGGCCGATGGAGGGGACGCAGGCCTGGTCCTCGCTATCGGTCTTGTGCGTCTCGTGTTCACTGTACTGAGTGCTTGTCCAGGGACAGGGTTTCATATCCTGCCTGTCACATGTAGCTCAGACCTCAGTGCCCCAAAAGATTAATTATATGAATCATCTCAGATTGCATGGTACCTAGTACAGCGTGGTCACTCAAGTGCTAATTGATGGTGCTTTGAAGACTCCGAATTCCTTGAGGTGTTGCAAGGAAACTTCCTGCTCACAGGCCTGGCTGAGGAGGTGGGGAGCAAGGCTGGACCTCCTTAAACAGCACCTGTGAATAAATAAATGTATCCTGAGAGCCAGTTTTGAATAGGGCAGCAGGTTCCCCCTTCGCCTGCTAAAGTTTCAGAAATGACCAGAAAAAAATTCAGGAATGTAGAAAATTCTGAATTAAAAGCTGATTTGTGACTGATGGTCTATTAGGTACCCTCTCTCTTAGATGTTTTTCACACATTCTGACTATAACTCTTCTCATGATCTTAGCAAGTTGTGTCTGAAATGGTTGTCTCCCCAAGAACCTGGCTATTTCTGGGAGATGGGAGTTACTGAGGAGGTGGGGGTAGGGGAACGGAAGGTGTCTCCAGAGCACCCCCACGACGTATCCCACGCCTGCAGGTGGATTCTGAAGAGCCGGTCTTCGAGGCTGTGATCAACTGGGTGAAGCATGCCAAGAAGGAGCGGGAAGGGTCCCTGCCGGACCTGCTACAATACGTCCGGATGCCCCTGCTGACCCCCCGCTACATCACAGACGTCATAGACACTGAGGTGAGTCTCTGGGACAGGGGCGTCGCTGTAGCTTCATGTCCTGCACCCAGAACCGGTCCCCTTAGAGGCACGAGCATCCCCGGAGTCTGTCCTGGTCTGCCCGGGACGTGCACTGTGCAGGGGTCTGCAGGCGGTCGCTGGGCAAGTTGGGCTTCCTGCAGAAATGAAAGTCTGTGGCTTAATTTAATTTTGTGCTTTGTTGTCTTTTTGTTTTACAAGTCCCTCATTATTTTGCATAGCAGTATTAGATGATAAATTTTGTCCCCTTCTCTATTTAAAAAAATTGTTCCAAAAAACAATTCATTCCATGAGAGGGGACATAGGTAAACCTATGACTGATTCATGTAAAGCAATTATCCTTTAATTAAAAATAAATAAATTTTGAAAAATGCAAAGCAAAAAAAGAAATTCCTTTCAAATCAAGTCTCTTTATTTTTGACCTCTGGAAAGGTCACTTTGAAAGGAGTTTGATGCGTTTAACATCAACTTGGGTCGAGTCATGTTTGTTTACAAGCATTTCTTCAGCCTCAGTTCCCTGTGGTTTGTTTCTTGACTTTCTCCACAAGCTACCGGGACCACCCTGGAGACCACCAGTCTGTAAAGTGTGGGTGAGGCTGGCCTTCTGAGAGCTCGTCACAGACGCGCCTCCCCAGTCGTTTGCGTCAGGGGGGCTGCCAGCCGCTTAGTGTCATCTCGAACTCGGTCTCGTGTGCATAGCTTCTTCCTCATGGTCCGTTCACGTACCCTCACCTGCCTCTGAACCATGTGACGTCTGTTCCAAACAAACCTTTGTAAATCGCTTCTGGAAACCCACGGCCTGACCCCTGCCAGCAGTCCTGAAGCACCCGTGGCTCACTCTCCTCCTGCTGTTTCAGCCTTTCATCCGCTGCAGTCTGCAGTGCAGGGACCTCGTTGACGAAGCCAAGAAGTTTCACCTGAGGCCTGAGCTGCGCACTCAGATGCAGGGGCCCCGGACAAGGGCGCGGCTAGGTAAGCTGGTGTCGCGTGTTAGCTGTGTCATCTTGAGCAAGTCCGTCTACCACCTGACCTTGCTTTCCTAGAAACCAAGGGTATCGTCCCTTCTGGTTCACGTGACTGGAGGCCTAGATCAGATACAGTGAGGGAAAGCACTTTACAAAGGTCAGGTGTTAGGCAGTGTAAGTCCCGGTTGTATTTCAGCGTCTTTGGGGCCTGTGGATTAGAGCTCTCTCAGATGCTGTGTCATCAGTGGTCTGCTGCCCCGCGCCTCCCTCCTCCGTGTGGAGAGAAAGCGGGGAGGAAGCCTCGTGGGTGAGGCAGGGGTTCAGGAGGTCGGAGGTGATGCCATGCAGCGGGCAAGGGCCCGGACCTCAGCCAGACAGGCAGTGTTCACCCCTGATTACCACTCACCGCGGGTGTGAACTTTGGCAGGAAACTTAACCCCTCTGGGTCCGTCACCGCATCTGTGAAATGGGGGTCATCACAGCTCCAATCTTGCAGGTTGCTGTGAAAGGGAGTGTGTGCTGCCTCCGGAGGCTGTCACCTCAGCAGACAGGCCTGGGCTCAGGTCCCGGCAGCTGCTGGCCAGCCTGTGGGCCTAGGCAGGGCGCCACTGGCCTGAGCTGACGCTTCTGCCTCTGAAGCGGGGACACTGGGGTCTTCTCACGCTGGGTGTTGCGGAGGCCGGATGAGATCGCGCATGTGAGATGCCTGACGTTCCATCTGGTGCGCGGTCTGTGCTCATGTGTGCCCTCGCTTCCTATTTGCTGTCCCAGGAGCCTAAGCATTTGGCAGGTTATAAATTACTCTGTGTACATGCGATGGTGTTTTGTTATTATTTCCTGTTTTTGCTTTTGTCTGACTGTGGCCTCATGCGCGCTGAGGTGTTAATTGATAATTAAGCCTTTCATTCGTAGATATAAGTAGAGTGATGATTTATTTCATTTCTAATGGCAGAATTAATAGGTCTATAGAAATTTTAGAAATAAAGAGAGGCAAAAAGTAAACGAGTCATCGGTAATTCCACCACGCAGAGATACTGTTTTTTGTTGTTTTGTTTTTAAAGGGATGCCATTCTGTTAATCCCTGGGAGATGACAAAACGTGGCCTGTGTCTCATGTACAGAGATTTATAATCAGCACGAGATACATGGAAAAAATATAAAAAGGAAATTTTTGAAAAAGATTGAAGGACTAAGTGTGAAAAATCATGAAAATATTAGAAGAAATTATAGGAAGGTATTTGTTTAACTTCTGGGTGGCCTTTTTTTTCTATTTTTATGATAAATATACGTGACATAAAATTTACCATCTTACTATCTTGTATACATTTCAGTTGTTAAATACCTTCACACAGCTGTACAACCCATGTCCAGAACCCTTTTCATCTTACAGAACTGAAATTCTGTATCCATAAGACAGCAACCTCCCTTCCCTCTGTCCCTTTTTAACTAAAATAGAAAAACTTATAGAGCCCTCCATGGTTACTTGATGGCATCAGGTTTTTTTTTCTGTTTTTTTTTTAATTGATGGCAGAAGGCAAAGACATGGACTGGTGGACTGGGAGAAAGTACACTCAATATGTGTGACAGAAGGTCAGTATTTCTATTGTAGAAAGAACCCGTGCATAGCAACAAGAAACAGAGCAGTGGCCGTGTGAAACGGGGCACGGGCAGCAAACAGGTAGCGCCCAGAGCGCCCTGTGAGAGGGGATGCTGGGCTCCCGAAAGCTGCGCCACGCGGAGGTCCGGACGAGGCGCACCCCCTGTGTCCCACCTCGGGAGTGTGTCCTCTAGAGAGTGTACAGTGCAGACGTAAGCAGGAGAGTCAAGACACACGCATAAGAGTGCTTACCACAAATCGCTAATATCGAGAAAAAAACTGAGCACAACCTGCACGCCAAGTAAAGGGGAGTGACTGGTTGACTGAGTGACAGCACGGCTGTACCGTGGGGTGTCAGGAACCCGTCAAAAGGCGCCGAGTCAGAGTCACAGGCTTAATTGTGTACACTGAGTGAGGGGAAGGAGAGAGACAAGACTCCTCTAGATGTGTATGTTTACCTGAGCATGGAACAGGCTGTGTATTCAGGATAAACACTAACCCCTTAATAAAGTGCGATTGCAGGGGGATATTAACTACTGTTTTGTTTACATACCTCTTTGTTACTACCATACGCTTGTGGTTACACAGAAAATAAATAAGTATTCTCTAAATACCAGCTGAGCCAGTGAGGTGGTGGAAGGAACCTGGCACTTGGAGATAAGACATTCTGCTTGCTTTGGTTTCTGCTCCCAAATCTGTCATTTACTCTAGTAACTCGCTGTCTGAACCTGGACAGGTTCTTCAGCGTCTCTGGATTGCCACCAGCTGCACATCAGAGGAGTTAAGTCAGTCACTAGAATTCTTTCCAACACAGAAGATGCGTTTCTTTTTTGTAGAGCCAAAAGTGCCACAGCCAGTTCATAATTGCTTGTTAAGTGGAGCTGCAGTGACACTCCATGAGAACCAGCAAGCCCAGAGGTGGTTTAGAGTTTGATTCCTGCCCTTGTTTGAACAGGCAGCAGAAAACCTCTGTGGCTTAAAGACCTTGCCTGTAGTCCTGCCCTAGAGGGGTAAGAATGTTGTCCTGCGTACCCGCATGGTGCTGCGGTCCTGTTTTCAGTAGTCCTAGGAAGGAACTAATGAAAATTTTCCCAACTAGGTTCTTAATTTAGCATCTCTGTGTTTTCACCTTAGAATGGACTGTGCCGGCCATCCTGTGCTCTGCCGTCCCATTCAGGGAGGCTGCTGAGCCAGTTACCAGGATGATTCTCTTCTGCATGTAGCACAGGGAAGTGAAATACACAGCTGAGGGAGACCAGCAGGCCACATACTGCACGTTGTGGGGGGGGGGGGGGGGATTTTGCTTTCCTTATTAACCTTACCCATCACTCACCAAAGATGTAATGGAAATTGCAGCTCCTGTCTTGTCACTGGCTCCTTTCCTGTGCAGATGGAAACGCAGGTCCCGAGCCCGTTCTTGGTGGCCCTGCCGCCCATCTGCTCTTTCCTCCAGCAACATACCCCAGGGCACAGACGCTCTCCCGAAAACAGCAGTGCCCAGGCACTGCCAGGAAGCCTCGATGCTAGCTCTGTGCCTGCACACACAGTTCCCGCCAGGTGTTCTAGACACTCTCCCTGCTTGTAGACATGGAAGTCCGGCTGGGCGAGGCCCCCGCTGGTCGGCAGGGGGCTGACCGCCAGGCTTCCTTCCGTTCAGCCCTTCCCCTGGTGCTGCCGCTTCGGCCTCCTGGGATGGGGGCCCAGCTCAGGGCCCAGCCACAGGGAGGCCCTCGGGAGTTGTTCCGAGGGAGGAGGACTTCCAGGCACAAAGCAGTAGCAGGAAGTGAAAAGGCCAGTGTTTTTGATCAAATAAATATCATGTACAACATTGTAAGATAAATTAGGAAAATAAATTCACTACAGCCACAGCAGTGAAGTCATTTGTAAAGAACTAAAAAACAAAAAATGTACATAAGACAAAAACATTAGAGACTTGAATGTATGGTTCACAGCCGGGGGGTCCAGTTAAATATAACGGGAGCGGTTCAGCCTCATTACTAATAAAGTAATTATTAGTCTTATTAGTAATAAATACTACAATAAGTACAATTTCTTGCCTACCAAATATCAGAGTAAAAACCAATATGCAGTGCTACAGAAAGTAGAATGGATTGGCACTTTTACTGTTGGTGGGAATATGATTTGTTTCACACCCAGTATCTTATAGATCAAAAGATCCTTTAAGGTTCATGTTCTTCCCTAGGCAGCGCTCTCATTTCTGTGTTAAAGAAACGGGGACTGGGAAGACCCAGAGGGATCGGGTGGAGAGGGAGGTGGGAGGGGGGACTGGGATGGGGAATACATGTAAATCCAGGGCTAATTCATATCAATGTATAACAAAAACTACTGTAATGATGTAAAGTAATTAGCCTCCAACTAATAAAAATTTAAAAAAAAAAAAAAAAAGAAACGGGGAAACGTCTCATATTCACGGATGTTTATCATAGGATTATTTGTGGTTATTTATAACCCAGTTACCAGCTCCTGAAATGCCTAAAATATTAAAATCATATATTAAAGGATTTTGTTAATATCTTGAGAAAATGAAATGAAAACAAGATGTACTATGACATGGTCCCATTTCTGTTGTATAGATATTTAGAAACAGAACTGGAAGGAGATAATCTTATGTTTTTGTATCTTTGTGGAATTACAGATACATTTTTTTTATAATGCTTTTATTTTCAAGCTTTTTAACAGTGAAAACATGTTCTATATATTACATGTTTTATAATCACAAGATATAACATTTTTATATCTTTTACCAAAGATTATATCTTTATAATCTTTATAATTATAATAATCTTTATTTATATATTATTATATATATAATATTATATATAATCTTTATAATAATCTTTATAATTATATCTTTATAATCAAAGGTTATATCTTTAACCAAAGGGTGGGTCGTATGCAAGTAAGGACGACAGTCATACTCGCTGTTGAGTTGTTTTTTAAATTTTTTAAAAGGAAATCATCTTTGTGATAGAAAAAGCTACACAGGCTAAACAGACATCATTATTGCCTAAAGTTATGTTTTCAATGTTGAAACACTGGTGGCCTTATCAAAAGCTCTGTTGGCACTGACATGAACTCCAGCTGCGGTGGGGAAGTGAATCACTTCACTCACTTGGCAGACAGGCTTCTGGCACAGAGGCTCTTTCAGGGACAGTAATGGGCAGAGGGGCTCGGGGCCCAGTGGCCTTGGCGCCCGGGCACTCAGAGCCCTGAGCTGCAGAGCGACCCCGCGCTCGCCCTGTGCACAGCCCTCTGACCCGGGGCCAGCGGGAACTTGCACTGAAAGACTCCTGCCAGCGGGCGTGCGGCTGGTCCTCTGGATGTGCAGGTCCAGCTTAACTCAGTGGAGTTTGTTTTACTGTGCGAAGCATAGGGAACCCCCTCAGCTGTGGGTGTTTCTCTCAGTTGCCATCACAGCCTCCCCACCCGTGCTCACATCAGAGGGAGAGAAGAGCTGGGGGGAGCAGGTAAATGGGAGAAAGGGCAGCCAAGGAAGACCCTGGCCCCCCAGCTCGGAGGAGCTTAAACATAAAACTAGTGTCTTGCAAAAGGACCCTGTGTTCAAATGCTTTCTTTGCGAAAAGGAAGTGACTGCTCACCTTGGAGTGAAGTGAGTGAAGTCGCTCAGTCATGTCCGACTCTTTGCGACCACATGGACTATAGCCCACCAGGCTCCTCCATCCATGGAATTTTCCAGGCAAGAGTACTGGAGTGGGTTGCCATTTCCTTCTCCCACCTTGGAGTAGGGCCCACCTACTTTACTTGGCAAGGACACAGAGAGGTGCCCTCTCGTCAGAGGACGTTAAAATCCATGGCTCATGCGTGGGTTATTAAGGAAAATAGCAAACATATATAAAAACAGAATAATCAAAGGATTCCCCCACACCTATCACCCAGTTTCAACAATTATTGACTTGTAGCCTATCTATTTTGAAGCAAATCCCAGACAGGATAAAATTCCATCCATATTATATTATGCTCTTGTGTGTGTCTCTGAAAGATGAAACATACAACCAGTTATTTACCCTCATCAGATATAAGTACACTTTCACATTTCCTCAGTTTTCCCATAATTTACTTTTCTTTGTTTTTGAATACTTCAGCTGCTCCAGTCAGGATCCAAACAAGGCTCACATGTTGCACTGGGTTCATAGCTCTCTTCAGTCTCTGTAAAATCCACAGACTTTTTACTCCTGCTCTGGTTTTCCTTTGCAGTTTATTTGTTGAATTTCCCACAATTAGATTTTATTGACTGCATCCCAGTAGTCTCATTTAACACGTTTTCTGCCCCCCGTGTCTCCTGTAAACTGGTGGTTAAGCTAGATCAGTCGTGATAAAATTTAAGATTCAGCTTCAGTTTTGTGGCACAGGCTCTCCACAGGCGATGCTGGCCCGCTTCCCGCTGAGCAGGCTGTGCTGTTCCCCTGCAGTCGGTCGTGGCGGCCGGGACTCACCGGGCGCTTGTCTTTATTTCCTGTCAGTTGACAGGCGCCCGCTTTGCTCTTTCCAGTGCAGGTCAGCTGAATGCCCTCCTGAATGTCCTGAGTGCCCCAGCTGGCTTCTCTCCAGTAGAGCAGCTACACAGGGGATTTTCTCAAAAGAAATATTATTGGAATATTATCCAAATAAGTCCCTTGGGGAATGGGGAAGACACAAAAGCTATCGAAATGCCTTGTTTGGGAAGATAGTAGAGAAAAAGACTCCCTTTAGAAGTCTCGCCTTATGGTTGGTTACCTGGAAGTTTTGATGAATTAACAGGACGTGTGGTCGTGGAGTTGGCTAATTTTGAAAAATAAAAGTCATGGAAAAGATTTTTAAATTTATTATTTGGTTCCTATGCCACATCTCAAATTTTGGGAGCCAAGGTTAGGAGAACATTCTTTGCCATCACAAAAAGCTCCCGTTTTGAGTTTTACAAGGTGAGAAAGGCAGGGAGCTCCTCCAGCCTGCCCTTAGAGCCTGTTGTGGGATCAGCTGGGTTGATACATGGTGTAGGGTGTATTCAGGCTCCTCCCATGGACAGAGGAGCCTCGCGGGCTACAGTCGTGGGTCACAAAGAACCCGACACAGCTGACACATGCGCAGTGTGTTCAGGCTTGCCTTCGAGAGTTTCACTGCTGTCCGCAAAGGCACGTTTCAGAGATTCAGGTTCTCAGGGAGAAACAGTTTGCTGCTGGGCAGCCTTCTGAAGGATCTCCCATTTCAGATGGCTCCTACGGGCCACGTGGGACAGGATGTCCTAGTGCAGTTTGCACTGCTCCACCCTGTGGACAGTCAGCCAGCAGCGAGGGGGAAATGACCTCTCTCCTTCTCGCGCATCCTCAGGAGCCAACGAGGTACTTCTGGTGGTCGGTGGCTTCGGAAGCCAGCAGTCTCCCATCGACGTGGTGGAGAAGTATGACCCCAAGACACAGGAGTGGAGCTTTTTGCCAGTAAGTTGTGATGGAACCAGGCCCAGGGAAAGAGCTTAAATGTCTGCAGTCCCTGACTCCAGATGGTAACTAACCCAGCCCTCAGAGTGGAAAGGCCACAGCAGCGTGTTCCTGACAACAGTCAGTTATAGTCATTGGTTGTTGACTAACTCGCCTTCAGGAATATTCACAGCCCTGTGTGCAGTCACACTCAGCTGGCCGCCGCCATTCCCACACCTTCCCGGGCCGCCCAAGAGGCTCGTAGGGTGCCCGCTCTGCCCTGTTGACCTGAGCACAGCGCTCCACTCTGCTGGGCCGGGCTGGAGTCCCGGGCCCCGGGCGTTTGTGTCTCTTCAGGGTTTCTGTTTCAATGCCAGATGCACAGTGATAGCCGAGAAACGTGGGTCGTCTGGTCATTTCTCTGACCTTTCGCCATCAGATCCCAATCCTCAGGGAGCAACGTGCTAGTCCCTTCCTGCTTCACGGAAGGGTGTTGGTCTTGACCGCAGTGCTTATGGAATAGGAAGGAACTGGATACTGGATAAGGGAAGGACGGTAGGTCCTCTGGAAGCCTCAGAAAGAGACAGACGTACAGAAGGTGTTCATCAGTAAGAGCAGCACTGAGCAAGGGACTTTCATCCAGCGGGCAGGCAGCAGATAAACCTCTGCCAGAGGGCTTCACGGCCACAGGCGAAGCAGCAAGGTGTGGAGAGAAACCCAGGAAGGACCACAAAGGTGAGGCCTAAGACTTGCCTGGCTAAAGTGACAAAGGTGCCTCTTCTCCCCTGAATCCTAGAGCATTACTCGGAAGAGACGCTATGTGGCCTCGGTGTCCCTTCACGACCGGATCTACGTGATTGGCGGTTATGACGGCCGCTCCCGCCTCAGCTCCGTGGAGTGTCTGGACTACACGGCAGACGAGGATGGGGTCTGGTATTCTGTGGCGCCAATGAATGTGCGACGCGGCCTGGCTGGAGCCACCACCCTCGGAGGTAGGCTGTGCACCGGCTGCGTGTGCATTGTGGGGTGGCTGGATCGGGGTTCACGCTTCTCCATGAAATGTGGAGGCTACTGGTGGGGTCAGTCATGCCTTTCTGCTTTCGGAAACTCCCAGGCATCTCAGGGCCCTCATTGGAGTTGGTAACTCAAGTTCCAGTATGCTGAGGGGGCAGCAGGCACTAGTTGTAGTTTTGCAAACTCCCATCTAGGGAATGTTTCTGAAGATTCCATCTTACCCTCTTCTCACATGTCTTGACTGTGCTGTCCTCTTTAAGAAAGAGTTAATTGATTTATCCCTTTAAAAAAAACAAACAGTTGTTTTTGGCTCCAGGCATTTGGAAGAGTTGTGGGAGATTTGTAGAGAAGGAGTCGTTGGAAACCTCTCACTCTAATGGTCTGTGACTGCTTCATTCTGAGCAGATATGATCTATGTCTCTGGGGGCTTTGATGGAAGCAGGCGCCACACCAGTATGGAGCGCTATGACCCAAACATTGACCAGTGGAGCATGCTGGGCGACATGCAGACGGCCCGGGAAGGTGCCGGCCTCGTGGTGGCCAGTGGGGTGATCTACTGTCTAGGTGTGTGGGGTCTGGGATGGGGAGGGGGTGGGACGACTAGCGGGCAGCAGCCTCGGGGTGGGATCCTCTCATCAGAATCTGTTCATAGACTTCCTGCCCCTAAAACCCTCGTCTGTCCCAGTATATTTTTCATTCACTGGGATTCTCCTTTCCGTGAGAGCAGAAGATAGGGCACCATCAGGTTTCTCTTTGGAGCCCTTGAGGGAGAGCTGGGACGAACAGCATCAGTTGGAGCACTCAGGAAAGGCAGGCCAGGAGTGGGCATCAGGACTGACCATTCCTTCTGGAATGCTTCCCGCTCTGTCTTCCAGGAGGATATGATGGCTTAAATATCTTAAACTCAGTTGAGAAGTACGACCCCCATACGGGACACTGGACTAATGTCACGCCAATGGCCACCAAGCGCTCAGGTAAGATGGGCAGGTCCCGGGGCAGGAGGTGGGACTGTCAGACCTCGCCTGGGCAGTGGGGCTGCAGGCCTGTCATCACTGGCGACCTAGGAAACGGGGGTCAGGGCCGTTCTCCTCTGCGCCTGTTTTCTCTAAATATAGTGGCAATAGAGACAGCCCAGACTCTGACTGGGTTAATGTCGGAGCAGAGCCTCCTTGCCTTGTTTTTTTGCACCCGAGTCCCTCTACCTCCTAGCCTCCAGCCCAGCCCTGTGCAGTGGCGCGGGCTGCCTGAGGGAGTGTGCGCGTGCGGGAGTCGGGGGTCTTCCTGAGCCCTCAGGCTGGGGTAGAGCAACAGAGAGCCCTGCCTCCGGGTACCAGGTGCTCCAGACCCATCACACCCCCTCTCCTCTATTTCCCTCTTTTTTCCACTCCCTTCTCTCCTGCTGAGGGTTGGGCTCCGAGTTAATGAAAGCAAGATGACAGCCATTCAGAGAGGGCTACAGGTGGGTGACCTGTGCTGGGCTGGATCCTCCAGGCTGTCTGGCCCTGGCCTGTCTGTCGGCCACTCTGGGGCTCACCCAGCCGTCTGTGAGGGTTTTGTTTCTAGGGTTCAGATCCTCAGCTCAGCAGCCTTCATTTGCTGTGCGCTTTCCTCCCCAGGTGCAGGGGTAGCCCTGCTGAATGACCGTATTTATGTGGTGGGCGGATTCGATGGTACAGCCCACCTTTCTTCTGTGGAAGCCTACAACATTCGCACCGACTCCTGGACAACCGTCACGAGCATGACCACCCCGCGGTGCTACGTCGGGGCCACCGTGCTTCGGGGGAGACTTTATGCAATTGCAGGGTGAGGGTTAGATCTGGCATCTGGGGCCTTGTGATCTGATCCACGTGTGCGGTGGAGACAGGGTTTGGTTCCGGGGAGAGAGGGCCCCATGGCAATCTTAGGGTGGGGCGGGGCTGGGGGCGGGGCCATGCGTAGGGAGGGGGCCGAGGGCGGGGGCGGAGCCTGTGGGGAGGGGCGCTGGAAGGGGCGGTGGGGTGCGCCTTCTCCCTCACCGACGGCCCTTCTCCCTCAGCTACGACGGGAACTCCCTGCTGAGCAGCATTGAGTGCTACGACCCCATCATCGACAGCTGGGAGGTCGTGACCTCCATGGGCACTCAGCGCTGCGACGCCGGCGTGTGTGTCCTCCGAGAGAAGTGATGGGGCGAAGGGACAGTTTGCAGAGAACCAAGGGTCCTTTCCAGAATGTCTGTTTCTCAGTGTGGGGAGGGGATTACAGGCTCAGCGCCGCCGCTCTGATTGCGCTTATTTGACACGCCCTGGCGTTGAGGGTGTCCCCAAGGAGGGTGGGCAGCAGATACTCGAGGAAGGAGGCCGCATCCTGCGTGGGTGTGATGGGCCAGACCCCTCTCCTCCTGGCTGAGGGGGCACTTGGGCCTCACCTTTAACTTAGAGACTATACCTTTAAGTTGTGCCTCGTGTGCTGTGGAGAATTAAGGTGAATATGAACTCCAGGGTGTGGGCAGTATCCAGCCTCGATGGTTGGAAGGGTACCAACTCTCTTGGTTTTCCAAGAATAAATCTATACTAGTCTACAGGTAGCAGGGGCAACACAGTTCTGTTCTGGAGGAAAAAGAGGGAAGAGCCCTGTCAAAACCTTGGGGGCCTCGGGCGTGGGGGAACTGGATATCCAGTGCAGGGCGGGAGCTGGGTGCGGTGGGGTGTGAGGGAACCCGCAACACGTGGAAGGCTGCGGGGGCGTGTTACCTGAGGGTCTTTCCTGGGCCGTAGAGACAGAGCAGCAGAGCCGGCGCGTGTTAGCTGAGCAGCAGTGAGGAAAAGTGGGCCTTCTGTGCGCCGGGGACAAACTGTGACTTCGCCGTTGCCTTCCCTGCCGCCGCGCCTTTATCCCAGGAAGGTTTTCCTCTGTTGAATCAAGGACTGCTTTCTCCACTGTTGCCGTCAGTACTGTTTATAGGGGGAGGGGAGGAGCGGGGGTGGCAGCCGCCTAGTTCAGCCACCTGATAACTCCCTCATTCGTGTAAGGGCATACTTCTGCTAAGGAGACGTTTCTACTGCTGTGTTTTGTACATGTTGTCCTTTCTTATTAGAACACCCCTTCCCTGTCTTTAGACTGGATCTTACTCATCCCAGGACAGAATAATCAATGACAACCGAAATCCATTTGTTAGTTTCAGTACCTCCTGTCCTTCTGAACTCCTCCCGAGGCTCCCTGTGTTGTGCAGTGACATTCCTGCTCTGAGAATTGGGAGTGTGGGGACAACATGGTCACCTAAACAAGAATGCACTTTCCTTTTGCTCTGAAATTCCTTTTTTCCCTCTTTCCCTGAGTTGTATTGACCTAAAGTTCATTTTGTTTGTATTTTTTTAAGAAAATATTAAAAAAAAAAAAAAAAAGGTCTCAAATGCCTGTAAGAGTTTGTGGCAAACCAGCACCGTCTTGCAGACATTTCTGGGGACAAGGTGTAGGGATCTGCTATAGGTCCTGTCTCTCCAACCTGTTCCCCTGTGTGTTTGCCACTCACTGTGCTGTGTCTCTGTTGGACAGCTGAGAGGCCTCCGGAGACTCATTAGCAAGAGGTTATCAGAATCACATGTTCACGGCCTCCTCTCACACTGGGACTTGACTGGGAAGCCACAGGGAACAAAGCCGAGGCCATCTTGGGCTGGGTTTGTACGCGCTTGAGTTTTAGTGCTTTAGTCGCCCTGGTCCTTTTCCCTCGGTTTTGTGCCACATAACAGATAGCTAATATGTGGAAGGCTTGCAAAACTGCAAAAATCCTGATATTCCCAGAGCAACGGGAAGGGGGAGCCAAAGAGGTTCAGGAAAGAGGCCTGCCAGCCTGTCCCTAGTGGATGGATCGTGCCTGCTGATTAAACCAAGTTGTGACAGTTGTGACTCACTCCCTCAGGGAAGAGAAGGGAGGCGGCAGAGTGGGGATGAAGAGCTGATGGCCCCCGGCCGTCACCCGGCCTGGGGTGAAGGCCGTCTTCACCGCTGACTTCTGCGTTTCAGACACTAAGAGTGTCACCTAGGTTAAGCTTTTTCTGACTCCCCAGATGGAATTACTCCTAATCGGTGCTTCCAGTTCGCTTTGTTCCCTGGATTGTCTTTATCAAATGTCCTTGGGTTTGTGCCCATCTTCCTGTTTAGACTCTGTTCTCCAGTAGAGTGCCTATCATCACGGTATGCTCATATTATATAATTGTATAACATTGTAGTATATTCTATAACTGCTCAGCAAAGGCTGACTTAATAAAGGACAAAGAGGAGAAGAACATGCCGACCGGGGTGGTTGGGTAGACAAGACATTCCTCACACTACTTAACTTCCCTTCCTATTCCGCTTCCCCTGCCACCTTGGTAAGACCGCGCCCGCCACACTACAGCCAGTAAGCTAGACGTCTTAAGACTAACCGGGGAGAATGCGAAACTGGAACGACCCAGAGCAGTGGCTGCAGGCCATGCCTGGATCCTGGGCCCTGGAAGGTGGCCCTTCCGACCGTACCCCCATAGGGAAGCGCTTCAACACCGCTTGCCCCGCAGTGAGTGGTCAGTGCGACCCGGACAGAGAGCAGCATCTGCAGCTTCCAGACACTGGCCTCCACCCCAGAGGGCAGGTGTCGCGCGGACGCTACTGCGGCTGAGATTTGCTCTGAGACCGGGACGTCCCCGCCGCTCCCGAGACGAAGCGCACACCCGGACCGGCCCAGCTTCCATCCGGTGTGAGGGAGGCCCAGAGGCCTGGTGAGCCCGAGCAGCGCCCCGTCACGCCCCAGGACACACCTGTCACAGAGCCCCGCCTGCTCCAGCCGACCGGCCCGGAGGCCTGCGCCTGCGCAGTGGCGTCCGGCGCTGGGAGGCCGCGCCTGCGCCGAGCGAGCGCCGCGGGTACCGCGCCTGCGCGGTGCGAAGAGGCGGCTCCAAGCTGCGCGTCGCCGCCGAGGGCCGGGGTGGCGGCTATGGAGGCCGCGGAGCCGCCGAGCGAGCTGGTGTCCGAGGAGGGCCGGAACCGGAAGGCGGTGCTGTGCCGGCGCTGCGGCTCCCGCGTGCTGCAGCCGGGCACGGCGCTCTTCTCCCGCCGCCAGGTGAGAGCGCGGGGGGCGGGCCTTGACCGGGTCCCGTCCCGCCGGGACCGCGCAGACCGAGCTCCGCGGGGGCCTGGGCCGTAGTTCAGGCCCAGATGTCGGTTCCCGTGGTCCTGCCGTCGCGACCTCCTGCCTCTTTCCCCGCGCGCCGCCACGCTCCGCCGGGACCCGGGGGAGGGGACGTGGACGCAGGGGACCCGGGGGAGTGGGCGCGGGAGGAAGGGACGGCAAGCGGGGGGCGTGCTGGGAGCGCTGGCTCCGGTTCGGTGAGCCCTGCCGAAGTCGTGAGTCACCAGGAGTGGGGGTCACCCGCTGCCCAGAGAGCGGTGGAGGGTGGACACAGACAGTGGGGTTTAAGTGAAGGAGTGAGGCTCTCGGCCCTCGCGACTAAGCCCCACGGTCCGTGTTCTTTTTAAGTCCTATGAACAGTTTCTCTGTAAAATGTTCTCGGTCCTTTGGTAAAACTCAGAGGTTTCAGAGAGGAAATTACAGTCACAGAGAAAAGAAGCATTCACTGAAGGGCTTGAGACCGCAAAGGGTAATAAGTTAGGGAAGGGAGTCGCTGCTTCCTTATATATTTTGGGGGGAAGGGCGGTCTGGGCTGGAGAGCCGGAGGACGTGGACGGGTGGGAGAGAAAGGGGGATGAGAACATGTTGGCTCCAGAGTTCACCGCACCTTGGTTCCTGAGAGGCGAGACCTGGAAACAGCCCAGGGGTGACCGAGGAGCTGCAGGACAGCCGCACCGTGGGCACCGCACCGTGGCTGGCTCTTCAGGGAGCTCTGCTGCGTGAAGAAAGCTGGTCCCAGAAGATTACTACTGTATCATTCCGTTTGTGTGACATTTTTGAATTTTAGAAATGGAGAACCTATGAGTGATTGCCAGGAGGTAGGAAGGGGAGGGTGGGTGTCAGGGGTGTTGGTAAGTATGGTTATAAAAGGGTAGGTGGATGGTGGTGATGGCGGCAGCGTAATGTGAATGTCCTTAATGGCACCAAACAATTTTATGTTATGTGTAGTTTACCGCAGTAAGAGATCAGGAGTCAAAGTGGAACACGCTGCCGCTCTATAGGCGGCTTTGCCCTGGTTATTGCTGCATAACAAAATTGCCCCAGACCATGACTTGAAACCATTTTGCTCACAAATTTGGAGATTGGCTGGGTGCAGCTACATCTCGGCTCTTCCACTGGGGGTCTTTCACGGGACCTTTCAGAGGGGCCTTCTCAGAAGCCTGCTCACACCTGTGTCCGCCTGTGGCCCGAGAGGATCCCGGCACCTGAAACAGGCTGCAGTGAGCTGTCCCTCCGTTTCTGCCAGCGGCCTCAGGGGAGCTGCAGTTCCCACTCAGGCTCCAAGAGAAACCCACAAAAGTGGCCCGGCCTTCCCTCACCTCGCCTGTCACCCTCCCCTCAGCCCGCCAGGCTCAAGGGGGAGGCAAGGTGTCCGAAGCTTGGGAGGACTGTCAGAGAATGTATGGACACGCTTTAAGAGCACCACAAGTACTTGCTGAAGGGACAGTTATGAAAAAGGTTAACAGATGGTTGGATGGCATCACCAACTCTATGGACATGAATTTGAATAAGCTCGGGGAATTGGTGATGGACAGGATAGCCTGGCATGCTGCAGTCTGTGGGGTCTCAGAGTCCAACATGACTGAGCAACTGAACTGAACAGAAGTTCATTCTGTTTTGTAACAGTTTTTATCCTCAACTACAGTATAGCATGGGCTTCCCAGGTGGAGCTAGTGGTAAAGAGTCTGCCTGCCAGTGCAGGAGACGTAAGAGACTGGGGTTCAATCCCTAGGTCGGGAAGATCCCATAGAGGAAGCTATGGCAGTTCACTCCAGTATTCAAGCCTGGAGAATCCCATGGACAGAGGAGCCTAGAGGGACACAGTCCAGGGGTCACAAAGAGTTGTACATGACAAGCAAGTCAGCATGTGCACGCGTGCACACACACATGCACAGCATAGCATGCTTGCCAAGTTTTCTATAATGAAAATGCATTTTTACAGAGAAAGAATATGTTTAAAAGGGTACTATGGATAGTTAATGAAAGAAGCACAAGAGGTTTCCCTGAGACATCAGCAGAATCTCAGAGTTCAGTGCAGCTCAGCAGCCTGTCCAGGATCAGGGCGCTAGCCAGGGTCACCACATGGAAGAAATCACAGGGATTGCATGTGCATATGCGTGCATGCGTACACCGGAGGCTCTCTCCTCGTGGGTGGGAGGTGCAGAGATCCTGGAGATAATAGTCCAAATTCTAGTAGACTTTTCTCCTTCCTGTTCCTTTTATAAACCCAGCATATTCGTAACAGTGATGGAACAGACTGAAGCCAGATATCCGGTGTTTACCCTGTTAGTAAATGTGTGAGCTCTGCTCTGGATGACGTGCTGTTGCAGGCACTGGGGATGTGCTCGTGAATGGGAAAATTGACCTGGTGGAAGGAGACCCCGATAAACAACTGAGCCGGTAAACAGATAAGATGGTTTCAGAGAACGATAAGATGGGAGCAGCATGAGGAAACGGGGGTGCTGAATACTTGTTACCTTGATGGTGTGTCAGGGTGCGTCGGTGAGCCGTGTGTTGGGAGCAGAATGTGTCACGTTGTCCACTTTGAGTTACATGTGTGTCAGTAATGCCTCAGTCAGGCTGCTTTGCAAAATGCAGGCATGGGAAGCTTGTCCGGGTCGTCTGGTTGGAGGAGACCTGAGGAGGTCATGCGTGAGCCGAGTGTTAGGGAGCCCTGGGCCTGCAGGGTCTCAGGGCAGAGCAGACCCACACCCTTAGGAGCTGTCAGGAAAGCTGGTGCATCCAGCCCGGGCGGACGGGAGCCGAGGAAGGCAGGCCCTGTGGACCTGGGGAGGCCCCAGATCCCCTGGCACCCACTCTCCCTGCTTTCCTGAGAACCAGGGCAGAGGGGAGTGGGGGGCCACGGGGAGTAAGCCGGGCCCTGGTCTCTGTTCTCCCCCTGCAGCTCTTCCTCCCTTCCATGAGGAAGAAGCCGGCGCTGGCCAGCGGCGGTGGTCCGGAAGGTGACCTCTTGCAGGAGCACTGGCTGGTGGAGGACATGTTCACTTTCGAGAATGTGGGCTTCACCAAGGACGTGGGCAACATCAAGTTCCTGGTCTGTGCAGACTGCGAGGTGGGCCCCATCGGCTGGCACTGCCTGGATGACAAGGACAGTTTCTATGTGGCTTTGGACCGGGTTTCCCATGAGTGACGGGGGGACGCGGCTCCCCCCCACTATTAAAGCTTTCCCTGGGGACCGCCCTGTTGCCTGCTCCGCACCGCCGTCCATTGTGAGTGCCA